CGGATCCCAATGGGCAGGTGATCCTGGGTTGTATAAGAAAGCAGGGTGAGCAAACCCTGAGGAGCAAGCCAGGAAGCACACTTTTCTGTGGCCCCTGCTTCAGCACCTGCCTCCAGGTTCCTGCCCCACTTGATTGAGTTCCTGCCTTGGTTTCCTTTAATGATGGACTATGAAATGGGCACATAAGCCAAACAAACCCTTTCCTCCCAAGTTGCTTTTGGTCACAGTCTTTATCACAGTAAGAGAAAGCAAAGGAAACAAATATTCTGGGTGATTTTTTTAATTACGAGTTTCAGATCAGGATTATAAAATATGGCTGCTTTGGAGGATGGGAAATTGGAAGATAGGCTATTTTATCAGAGCTGTCAGGGCTGTCAGCTTTGCTATAAGGTGACATGAGGGAAATTAGCAACTCTGTGAAGAGTACATGATTTTTCTTTCTGGTTTAGACTGATGTAGGCAACGTGGAAATAAAAGAAGGCAGACAGGTATCTCCAGAAGCAGAATTGTTCTTTATTCAGAACGACTGAAGGGCCGCAGTCTTTTGTCAGAGTGGGAACTGTGCAGTGAGGTTGGAGTGTGGATCTCCTCATCAGAGCTTGTCAGTCAGGTCAACATTCCCGTCCATGGCTTCTCAGTCCACTGAGGCGTTAGGTCACTAACACTTCACTGTGGTCATGAGAATTCAATGGGATGGATGATGTAAATCTCTGAGACTTAATGACTGCCTCACAAAAGTTGTCCCCAAATCTTTCCTCCCCCAAGATTACACACACACACACACACACACACACACACACACACACACACACACACGAATAACACACAGGTATATATGGGAATAATGCCAAGAGGTTAGGAGCTGGCTTAATCTCTTCTCTTGTTTTGTAGCTTTTTAGTTAACTTGATTCGTGGTGACCTGGATCCCCATAGCAACTCCTGGCTTTGATCACCTAGGAGACAGATCTCTGGGTGTATCTATGAAGATGTTTCTGGAAGGGGTGACTGAGCTGAAAAGACCCCCAATGAACATCAGGATTGCAATTCTAGAGGTTGGAGTCTCAAACAGTATAAAAAGGAGAAAGTGAGCTGAGCCTCAGGGCATATCTCCCTGCTTCTGGATTATGGAAGTGTGTGACCAGCTGCCTTGGGTGCTCTTCAGTATGCCTTCCCCACCACCATACACTGCATCCCCTCAAACTATGAACCAAGACAGACCCTTCCTTGAGTTACTTTTTCCTGGTATTTAGCCACAGCAATGAGAAATTTAACTAATATCCTAGGTCTATGGGAAAGTTCAACCCCTACCTCTGTATAATCCTGTTTCTCTTTCTTAATTTTTCTGACACATAGTTGGAATCCTTAACCACAGATCAGCATCTTTCAAGAAATCCCTAGTCCAGCAGGCATTGAGGAAGGTCTCCTCAGGAGACTTCTTCCTTCAGACAAGTTCTGAGAGACAGGGAAGAATTCAGCAGACAGTAGGGGAGGAGGCTCAGTAAGGGATGGTTATTAGAAGTTCTAATCTGGTTTCACCCGAGATTCCCACTGGTCTGTTGATGGCCATATTTTGCTAGCATGTGGAAGAAATGGTTGACTGTTGATGAATCCTCAGATAATGTCAGAGGAGGATCAGGAGAAAGGCATGTGGGCACCTGTATGGCTGGACTCAGACTCTGAGTCGTGAGACTTTTCTTCAAGAGATACCAAACTGTGATAAAGGTTCCCGATTATGGGGGTTGAGGAAAATGTCAAATTCCTGACAGAAGATTTCAGTTAACCTTCTTTCTGAGCCATCCAAACCTTGTCTGTGAAGCAGAGGCTCTACATGAGCTGAGTGACATAGACTGTCCCCCTTAAAGATGACGATGGTGATCTCATACCTGGTTATCCCAATTTGATCATATAGCAACCAAACCCAACTTTAGGGAGTGTCAGGCCCCCTAAAGGCTCCAAGATGTTGTGGGTAGATTCAGGAAAGAACCACAGTGGGTTATAGAAATCTGGCAATCAGCACCAGACTCTTCCCATGATGGTGGACAGACATTTTCACTCACAGAGATGGGCTCTTTTCTGGACGTGACTTTGCTTTTCCTGCTCATTCTGAATTAGCCAGGGTCATGCTCAGTGACTTCTGGATATGATGTGTTACAGCAGCCCACACAATGTTATCTCTGCTCTGGGAACTTCTGCCTGGTGGGATTAAAAGCAATGCCCATGTAGGACTAGTCTTAGGAACCTGGTGTCCTTCCCACTGCTCTCAATTTAATAGACAAGAGAAAATGGGTTAGGTCTACTGTTGGGTAGAATCATGTAAAAATGAAGGTGTTTAGGGGACAACTCTGAGTAGATCCTGGGAGTCCTATGATTTTCAGAGGTAAATGTCTGCTCTCCTGGGTCTCTCTAATCTGGAAGAATGGGCACTGCTCAGGGATAAGCAATCCCCTCGTGGCTTAAAAATTGATGCTGCCTAATTATCACCACTACAAGATGCCACAGTTTGTGCTAAGACACTTACAAACCCCTGCTGTGGGTTAATGGGCTTGAATCAAATTCTGAAATCCCAACAATCCTCTGATGTGAACAGGTTACCACACAAAGACTTCTCAGAAGGGCTCAACAGAGGAGAACAACAATGGATTCCTCAATCATAGACAACATGAATGTCTTCAATAAGGGCAGCTCTTTTGGTCTATTCTCCTGGGACTCTCTGCAGTGGCTCACATCCTTTACCCCAGAGCTGCCAGAAAACAGTCAGCTAGGGATGGCAGGGCTTGAATTGGGAACATTTTAAAAATTACTGCCATCTTACCAGCATGACAAGTTTTATCAGAACTAAAACACTTTATATGAAGGTTTGTTTTTGTATTTGTGATTCACATCCACATTTTTTACTTCTATATTTTGTATTTGTGATTCATATTTGTGCATAAAATGTTATAAATAATATATGTAAACAAAAGTAACAAATTTCTGTTAATCACACTGCTTCTCAATAGATTGTATTCTTACTCAAATCACCAAGTTTCATAGGTGTCCTTTAACACCATGATACAAGAATATTAGTAATTACCCTCTAAAAAACCATAAAGGAGATTTAAGCCTCGTTCCCATGGGGAATTAATTTTCATAACTGCTACATTTTTCTACAAATGTGGAAAATCAATTATCATTTTCATTCTCTAATTCCTATTTAAAGCCTCTGAATTAATGAAACAAACATGAGGAACAGGAGAATACATTGATTCATTTGACTGGAAGCTCCTGGGCAATTCACTTCACCTCCAAAGAGCATTTTTTAAACAGTCAGACCCAAATCCTCAGTAACTGGTGTGCTTGGCAGTCACCTGCCTCTGTGTGGTGAGCCAGACTCATGAGCTGCTGGCGAGTCAAGGAGTCACTCAGAAGCAGCAAGGGACCAAGGGAGACAGGGTGGGCCTGAAGTGCCAGACCCTCTAAAGCTTCCAAGATGTTGGGGGTAGGTTCAGTGAGAGAACCACAATGTAGGGAGCCCCCGTGTGAGAACAGAGATAGAAAGGAGATGGATCACGCTTCCAGGACCCAGTGTCTGGCTTTGCTCCAGGCTGGGAATTGCCCAGGGCTCCAGAAAGCACTTCGTTCCTTTATTCCCTGTAATTGGCACCTGCCCTATTGCCAGGTGTGTTATCATACAGAACAATGTGAGTGGAGTTGTAGCCTGGTCTTGTATCAGTGGAAGCGCTGTGGCTGCCTATTAAAAACTCAGTGTCTCCGTAATCCAAAGATAGAGGGTGAATCATCAAGAAAGATTAATAGTAATTACATCAACTGACTAGTGAAAGAGTAAAAACTGTTAAATATTACATTGATTTCATAAAAGTACTGTATGTGTATTTCTAAAGACATTCAGACACTTAAAAACTTTGTCTTTATGCATTTCTAAGACTTCTGCATTTTTTATAATAAACATTTGGTTATTTTAAATTTGAAAAAAATTGCTTGTAAAAAGGTTAGCTGTGGGCTGGAGAGCTGTGAGTCAGTGGTTAGGAGGACTGGCTGCTCTTCCAGAGGACCTGAGCTCACTTCTCGGCACCCACGTGGCAGCTCACAACCGTCTGTGACTCTAGTTCCAGGGTACTTGGTGTCTTCTGATGTTGAAAGAAAAAGATTAACACGTTATACAGTACTATAAAACTATGTATACTATAATTTTATCTGTACAATAATTGGGAAAATATAAGTAATTGGCAAATGAAAATTATGGACATACTGTGCCGTTTTAAAATAACCTTTGGAACTTAGCATGGTGGCTATAATCATATCACTTGGAAGGCAGAGAGGCAGGAGGATAGTGAATTTCAAAGCAGTCTGAGCTACAAGAATGAGTCCCTGATCCAAAAAGACAACAAAATTTTGGGGGGAATATGTGTCAGTTCAAGTATTTGACTCATGTACGCAGTGCGCTGGGTACACACACACACACACACACACACACACACACACACACACACACACACACACACACACACACACACACACACACAGACCCCTGAACTGTTACAGAGTCCTTATATTTTAAAGGGTTGTCTGTATAAGTCAGGGAAGCCTAAATCCCAGCTCCTGTCCCACACTGACCAAGAAACCTCTCTCTCCAAACTGTTCACACTTTAGGAGAGACAAGACACTGTGTCTTCATGTGCATACTTCTAATGTCTACAGCAAGCAGCACCTGGCAATGGAGGTTGTTCTAAATCAACAAATCAAAGGCAGAAAGGCAAACTGGGTAGTTTATTGCTATGTTTTCACGATTTCCAGTAATCTGCATCCCAAAGGGAAGAAACAGGTGCGAACGGTAGCAGAAGCCTCTTCCATGCGTAGATCCAACAGGCACAATGCATGGAACTCACTCAAGTCTCGGAACTCTGGAGAAGGAGGAACTTAGAAGACCGATACCCTAGAGAGACTGAAGGAGGAACCTTGGATCCCACGGAACCTGACAGCGGCGCCGACACGACTACCCGGACTTTGGAACGGAAGGACTGAGCGTGTCGCTTCCTGCCTGCCGGTGGGGAGGGCCGCAGTGCCGCCGCGATGTTACCCTACAACGTGAACTTCAAGGTGTCGGCGCGCACCCTCACCGGGGCGCTCAACGCGCACAACAAGGCGGCGGTAGACTGGTGAGGGCAGCGCTTCCGGCCGCCGGCCTCGGCCGCAGTTCGCGAGGGGACGGGGAAGAACTCGGGGCTTCCGGTCTCCCCTGCCTAGACCGCCGCCGGCCTCCCATAGCTCCCAGATTTTTCTTTTAGCTGAGACGTTTTGTTGTCATATGGGTCGCAAATGTCCCGAGTGGGCAATTCCTCGGTGCAAACACGGTTCCATTCCTGTGTTCTTTTCTCCTCTTATTCCTTGGCTGCTCCCATTTCCTCTTTGCCAACCTGGACCCGGGAGGGCTTCTCTCCCTCCACTCCCTGTCTCCTTATCTCTTCCTGGTCCTGACTTTTTCTTACCCGTGCATACTCCTCTTTTTCACTTACACTCATTCAACATTGCCCCACACTCGTCTGCCTGTGCACCTGCTCCACCTTTGTCTTTCCTGGCTCCTGTGAAACACAGTCCTCCACAGCCGGTCTCTTCCCACAGTAAAATAACACCGAAGCTCTGAGAACTAGTAATGATGTGATGCAAAATTTCATAGCTGTGGTGCTGCGAATGTTGCTACGGAGGCTGTAACCTCTTGTGTTATTATTATTATTTTTCTTAATTTGGTTGGAAGGACTAAGACTAGCCACTTATCCTAGGCACATTGTGGATTCTATGTTGTTATAAAAGTAAACATTGGATGCAAACTTTATGCATACAAAAGCAGCACAGATTGTCTTACACATCAAATCTCTGCTTACATATCTTTTATAACTGTTCATATAAGTGAAAGAGTCTTAATAAATTGTTGGTAAGCTTAGCTAGAGCCTTATATAAATGGAACGATATCACAAACCTTTGACTTTAAGTAATGCTATTAATGATGATACATATGAACTAGATTGATTTATGATAGGCAAGAGGAAAGTTGGGTTGTTTTGTTTTTTATTTACATTTTAACATTGATGTTTTGTCAGGGGCTGGCAAGGTTTAATTGCTTATGGATGTCATTCGCTTGTGGTAGTGATCGATTCCAATACTGCCCAAACTCTACAAGTTCTAGAAAAACATAAAGCTGATATTGTTAAGGTAAGTTAAATCCCACATCAAGCCTGTAGATCTGCCTCAAGTTTAATACATCATCTGGTTCTCATTAAGTCATAGGTATAAATGTCAAATAGCCTTTAAATTCAGTTATGTCCGATGTCTTAGAACGTTGCCAAGAAAAAGCCAAACTATGGAAAACATGCAGTAAATAGCTGTTAAATGGAACTTATTTGCACTGTTAGGGCTAAAGTAAAGATGCCTTGTTTTCCACAGCGGGTCACGTGCATATGTTCATCAGCTCTGCTTAGTCACCTGGCTGTCCTTCATGCAAATACCCTACAAGTGTTGTCTTTGTGTTATAAACTCACATTAGCAAGAAGGGGAGTTAGTGTTTGCAAACTGCAAATAATAAAGTTCCCTAGATGTATCTGTGTGTAGACAGTATGCATAATACATGTGATGTTCAAACGTGAATGTATACATATGTGCACAGACACATACACATGTATTAAAAAGAGTTTTACTTGAGGAGTGTAAAGATTAGTAAAATTAGTATTGAGAAAACTTTGTTTCCACCGTCTCCATAAATTCTATTGTAATTTATTACTTTTCTACTTTGACATTTATTATATACGACTGTTTATATGTGTACACACATGTGCTTTCCTACGTTTCTGTATATTTGAAGATTTGCGATGTTTTATCAACTAAGCACACTGAACAACAGATCTAGAATCTACACTGAGGTTAGGGTCTGCCCCGTGGAGCTGACAATCCATGGGCTGGTAATAGCCAAAGAAGTAAAGTAATTACACATCCTACAATAACAGGGTGCTGAGAGAGAAGAAGGGATGGTCCTGAGCACCAGGGAAGTGTCCAGGGAGAGAGAAGAAGGGATGGTCCTGAGCACCAGGGAAGTATCCAGGGAGAGAGAAGAAGGGATGGTCCTGAGCACCAGGGAAGTGTCCAGGGAGAGAGAAGGGATGGTCCTGAGCACCAGGGAAGTGTCCAGGGAGAGAGAAGGGATGGTCCTGAGTACCAGGAAGTGTCCAGGGAGAGAGAAGGGATGGTCCTGAGCACCAGGGAAGTGTCCAGGGAGAGAGAAGAAGGGATGGTCCTGAGCACCAGGAAGTGTCCAGGGATAAAGAAGAAGGGACGGTCCTGAGCACCAGGAAGTGTCCAGGGATAGAGAAGAAGGAATGGTCCTGAGCACCAGGGAAGTATCCAGGGAGAGAGACGAAGGGATGGTCCTGAGCACCAGGGAAGTGTCCAGGGAGAGAGAAGGGATGGTCCTGAGCACCAGGGAAGTGTCCAGGGAGAGAGAAGAAGGGATGGTCCTGAGCACCAGGAAGTGTCCAGGGAGAGAGAAGGGATGGTCCTGAGCACCAGGGAAGTATCCAGGGAGAGAGAAGAAGGGATGGTCCTGAGCACCAGGAAGTGTCCAGGGATAAAGAAGAAGGGACGGTCCTGAGTACCAGGAAGTGTCCAGGGATAGAGAAGAAGGAATGGTCCTGAGCACCAGGGAAGTATCCAGGGAGAGAGAAGAAGGGATGGTCCTGAGTACCAGGAAGTGTCCAGGGATAGAGAAGAAGGGATGGTCCTGAGCACCAGGAAGTGTCCAGGGATAAAGAAGAAGGGACGGTCCTGAGTACCAGCAAGTGTCCAGGGATAGAGAAGAAGGAATGGTCCTGAGCACCAGGGAATGATTTGGCTTTTAGTGATGGTTACAAGGTGTACCTCTTACTCTGTGAATATTTAATGTTCAAGAATCTAATCAGATTCTTAAGAGTTCTGGTAGAATTTAATTTTTAATTTGAGACTGGGTAATGCCTTGCACTTGCTCGCCATGCACGCTACCACTGAGCCGCATACCCAGCCCTTATTTTACCTGGTTAAAATTTTGAGACAGGATGCTGCTGCGTTGCCCAGGCTGGCTTTGAGCTTGTAGTCCTCCTTCCTCGGCCTCTAGGATATCAGGAACTATTACTGCACCAACAGGCCAAACTCTATTTTTATATTTTAATATACTTTGCTTATATATGTTGTGTGTGTATGTGTATATCCATGCTTGCATGTGTGGGCCCACATGTTTATGGGGGCTCTCTTAGTTAGGATTTCTGTTGCTGTTATAAAACACAACTAAAAGCAGCTTGGGGAAGAAAGGGCTTGTTTCCTATTCTGGCTTGTAGTTCATCATGCAGGGAGTTATGAAACGGCAAGAACCTGGAGACAAGAACTGATGCAGAAGCCATGGAAGGACACTGCTTATTGGCTTGCTCCTCATGGCTTGCCCAGCCTGCTTTCTTACAGCACCCAATCATCAATCAAGAAAATGTACCACAGGCCAATCTGACAGGGGCATTTCTCAATTGAAGTTCCCTCTTCTAAAATGTCAACTTGTATCAAGTTGACATAAAACTAGCCAGTGCAAGTGCTGTGTGTGCCTGCATATATGACATCCAGAGGTTGACATTGGGAGTCTTACTCAGTTGCTGTCATCTTATGTATTGAGGTAGGGTCTCCTCTGAACCCAAAGGTCATCAATTTGAAAAGTCTAACTAGCCAGCTTGCCCCAGAGAGAGATCCCCAGCCTCTTCCTCCCTAGCTCTGGAATTACAGGCAGGCCTCCAAAGTTTTTGTGTCTCTAAGTTGTTGGGTTTTTTTCTGATTAGAACAATAGAATATAGAAAAATATTCTTAGCTATTCATGATTTTAGATATTTTACACAAGTAAGATTTTAGGAAAACTAAGCTCCAAGATGGCCTGGAATTATACCAAGGCATTTGAAAAATTTTGTTCTATTTTCATACCTGATGTTAATAAAATATTTAGGCTATGAATCATGTTTCACATTTCAAAGACACTGTGATTTAAAATTAAATACATCATTTAAAAATAAGTAATAAAATGTCTTCATTTCAGAATTAATACTAGTTTCCTGCTTAGTCGTACCAAACTGTTTTTACCGTCTGAATGGTTAATGTGTTGTGAGGATGATGTCTGCTGTCATTTGGTGCAAGTGTGCTTGATCAGTTTCTCCTCAACACTAGGTTAAGTGGGCCAGAGAGAACTACCACCATAACATTGGCTCGCCGTACTGCCTGCGCTTGGCTTCTGCTGATGTCAATGGCAAGATCATTGTATGGGATGTAGCAGCAGGAGTTGCTCAGTGTGAGATCCAAGAGCATGCCAAGCCCATCCAAGGTGAGAGCCCAGCTCTGCTGAGCTTGTTAACACGCTCACACTGAGAACGCTTTTTTCTTTAGTTCTCTCTCTATTTGTTTGATTTTGTTACTTCCAGGCTAAGTTTTGGGGGTGTTTAGGCTGTCTTCTGGTAGGAATTTGACATTCTTTCTCCTATCGATCCCCCTTTGGGCACTGTTTCTTCAAATTTTAACTGATTCTTACTAAAGTAAAATGCATTGGTTTCAGTACTGGCCTCAGCTGTGTAGATGAGCCACCAAAGTACAAGCTGTAACGTACACTTGTTGGAATGACTGCAGTGAAATAGTTGGCAGTACTGACGATAGAGTAATAGAGATTAACAAACTTTTATTCTCGTGTTCATAACACAGTTGCTTGGTTCTTTTCTTTTAATGTTATTCTCCTAAAACTATTACACTGTTCTTCAGACAATGTCTCCTGCTTGACTGAAGCACACACACACACACACACACACACACACACACACACACACACACACACATATGAAGGGCTCAAGCATGCACGGCATGTACTTTAACTACTGAGCCATCTCCCCAGACCTGTATTTTGTTTTCCTTTCTTTTGCTTTATTCTTCTCTCATAGAATACATCCTTACCATAGCCTCCTCTCCCTCCCCTTCTCCAAGCCCCCATCCCCCAGGATATCAGCCATACACAGCATAATAAGTTACAATAAAGACTAGATACCCTCATATCAAGGCTAGATGAGACAACCCAGTAGTAGGAAAAGGGTCCCATGAGAAGGCAAAAGAGTCAGAGATACCCCCATTCCATTTTTAGGATCCCTCAAAAACCCCAAGCTAAACAACCACAGCTTAGATGTAGAGGGCCTAGGTCAGACTCATACAAGCTCCCTGATTGCCACTTCAGGCTCAGTGAGCCCCTAGCAGCTCTGCTTAGTTGATTCTGTAGGCTGTGTTCTGGTGTCCTGACTCCCCAGGCTCCTACAATCCTTCCTCCCCCTCTGCTTCAGAGTTCTGCCTGGTGTTTGGCTGTGGGTCTGTGTATCTGCTCCCATCAACTGCTGGAGGAATCCTCTCTGATGACTCTGATGACAATGGGCTAGGCACCAATTTATGAGCATAGCAGAAGACCATTGAATCATTTCATTCACTGGTGGTTTTGTTTTGTTTTTTGTTAGTCATGTTTATCCCTCTAGGTCTCTGAGCCATCAAGATTCCAGGTTTTGGCCATCCAGGCAGTGTCAGGCATGGGCTCCCCCTTGTGGCTTGGGCCTCAAATTAGACCAGTTACTCCCACATACTCTGAGCCACTGTTGACCCAGCACATCTTGCAGGCAGGACAGGTTGTAGGTCATAGGTTTTGTGACTGGGTTCATGTCCCAATCCCCCCAGTGGGAGCCTAGCCTGATTACAGAAGTCAGCCAATTCAGGCTCTGTATCCTCCATTACTAGGAGTCCTCACTAGGGTCACCCTCAGGTTCCAGGAAGTTTCCACTGCACTAGATTTCCACATCATCCATTAAATGCCCCTATTTGAGTTGTCTCTCCCTATACTCTCTCCCACACTTGACCCCTCCTCCCATTTCCATTCCCACCCATCCCCAGTCCACCCACAAAATCTGTTTCCCCTCCCCAGGAAGATCCGTGTATCCCCGCAGGCCTCTCTTTTTTTATCTAACTTCTCTAGGTCTGTGGATTGTAGTGTGATTTTCCCTTACTAATAGCTACTCACAAGTGAGTACAGGTCATGTTTGTCTTTCTGGGTCTGGGTTGCCTCTCTCAGAATGATTTTTTTTTCTAGTTCCATCCATTAGCCTGCAAATTTCATGATGCCATTTTTTTCTGAGTAATATTCAATTATGTAAATATACCACATTATCTATTCTTTGGTTGAGGGACATCTATGTTGTTTCCAATTTCTTGCTATTATGAATAAAGCCATTGTGAACATAGTTGAGCAAGCATCCTTGCAGTAGGATAGTGTATATTTTGGGTATGTAGTAATTTTTAAATGGTGGTTTTTAAAATATTTATTGAGTGCTTACTCTGTACTAAGTACTAGGCAACATTCTTGTTCTAAGATATTTATTGTTTTGAAAAATCATGAAAAGCCTCAGGGTTATCAGGTAATTCTACAAAAGCATTAGTTAAGTGTGGCATCCTGACCATGCCTACGAACATCTCAGATCCTGAGTTTATAGTTTCAGGTAATGATTATTGCACAACAACAATTCATTTTTATGTGTATATATTACATTTCTAGGGTGGGTATTGTATTTTAAGGGCTATACACCTGGAAAAGTATCAAGGACAAGGGGCCCAGACATTTTCATGGTTTTGCCCTCATCTTTCTGCTTACAGATGTGCAGTGGCTGTGGAATCAAGATGCCTCCCGAGACTTGCTGCTTGCTATTCACCCACCAAATTACATCGTGCTCTGGAATGCAGACACTGGCACCAAGCTGTGGAAGAAGAGCTATGCAGACAACATCCTATCCTTTTCTTTTGACCCTTTTGATCCCTCACATTTAACTTGTAAGTAATAATTATTTGTAGAAAATTACTTATAGGAACTACTAAAAATATAATTGTGTTACATACACAAAATATGCACTTTTATATGTCCTCAAAAATTTGGAGGACATCTTCATATATCTGCAGTTCCTAATGTGCATACTGAATTGTAACCCCACACTATTTGCAAGTACTTTTATTGTTAGACATTTATGCTGGCAAGTCATACTTGAAGGGGAACTCCAGAACAGTAGGGGCTTCCTCCTGGACCCTGGATTAGGCACAAACCACACCCAAACATCTGTTTTAAGTGGGGAAGAAAAGTTAAAGTGGCAGCTTTCTGACTCAGGCAGAAAACAGCAACAAATAATTTTGCAGGTGTAATTTTTAAGAGGAGGAGAAGGGGAGGTCTGTTATAGAATGGGCTAGAATGTGGTGGTAAAGGAGATGGGGTACAAGGGAGAAAGGAACAAAGGAGTATTTGTTCCAGAGAGACAAGAGCTGCCTCTGGGTAGAGGGAGACAGACATGGCCCATAAGCAAATGGTAGTTTATAAAGGTAAAGGGGAAAACCCGTGTTAGGATGAGATGTTTAATTGAGCATGTTAGTTAGGTGAGCCAAAGGGGGCTTCTGATTGCTGGAATTGGGTAGTCAGCCTCAGGAGGAAGAAGTGGCCTTGGTGTCTAGCTTTAGGAATGCAATCTAAGGGCTTTTAGAAGGCAGAGGGAGTGGGGAGAAGGGCAAGGCCTGCCGGAGCCACGTGCTAAGGGGGCCAATGTCCCTCAGTACACGTGTTGAATTCATGGTTGAAAAGTATTGGACTACGTTGGAACAGAGAGCTGCTGTGATATTCTAGATCAGACTTAAGTAGACTTTGTTTAAAGAACTTGAATCAGGAATTTCATTTAATATGCAACCAAAGTTCTTCCTTTAAAAACTTGATTCCGGCCGGGCGTTGGTGGCGCACGCCTTTAATCCCAGCACTTGGGAGGCGGAGGCAGGCGGATCTCTGTGAGTTCGAGGCCAGCCTGGTCTACAAGAGCTAGTTCCAGGACAGCCTCCAAAGTCACAGAGAAACCCTGTCTCGAAAAACCAAAAAAACAAAACAAAAAAAACCTTGATTCCGCCAGGCAGTGGTGGCGCACGCCTTTAATCCCAGCACTCGGGAGGCAGAGGCAAGCGGATCTCTGTGAGTTGGAGGCCGGGCTGGACCGACAGCCTCCAAAACAATACAGAGAAACCCTGTCTCGTAAAACCAAAAAAAAAAAAAAAAAAAAAAAAACTTGATTCCAATTCATGCTATCTTGTGTAAATGACAAGCTCAAGAGAATTTTTATTATAGAAATATTTCTTGCCATTTAGATATTTATATAGTTTTATTATTTAAAAATACTCTTTATTCAATGATTCAACACATATAGCTTTAGCTAGTGTTACTTATCTGGGAACCAAATTGGATTTTCCTAACTTTATGAATCTAGTAAGAGAGAGTCAGAATATAAACTGCGAATGTAGTGAGGTCATAAGTTCTAGTTTATTAAGAGATGTTAAGGGGGGGCGGGGCTGGATGAATGCCTCAGCAGTTAAGAGGATGTATCATTCCAGCAGAGGACCCTAGCTTGGTTCTTGGCTCCCATGTTGGATATTTTACAACGTTCTATAAATCCAGCTTCATAGAATCCAACAACTGCATGCATGGGATGTGCACACGCACACACACACATACACACACAACAGTAATAATAATGTCTTTAAAAGGTGATAAATAGTATAAAGAAGATAAAATCAGATAAAGGAGATGGGGGAGGAATGGGTTGTCAAGTTACTTTAGATTAATGGCCAGAACAAGATTCATTTTAGTAATGATCAGATGCTTGAAGGAGACAAAAGAATTAGTTGTGGTCCATAGTGTTTTCTCTGGATTTGAGTGATTCAAATTCTCATTTTATCTATCAGAATTTATTGAGAGAGACAGTGTGTATGGCGTGTCTATGTTGAAAGAGAAAAAAAAGTTAAGAGGAAAATGTGGCTAAGAAAATAATGTCAGTAAAGTGTGTTCAAGTCTGTCTGTGTATGTACTTGTACACACACACTTACTGATTTGCTGACAAATTCAGTACTAAGGGAACGCAATCAGGGGCTGGTTCATTATAGTCAGTGGGGGACACTAGCATGAAAGAAGGAAGCCAGTGTGGCCTTGGAGGATGAATTCCAGAACCTGAATGGTGACAAGGATTAGGCTGAGTTCATTGTATTAACACTGTGGTTTGACTTATAGAGGCACTGTGTGAGTGCACATGTATGTGTGTGTTATTATGTAGAGAAAAGGTCTACGATTGGCCTCAGACCAATGATCCTTGGTCTCTTGACTACTGGATGTCAGGTGTTGGTCATGTGCACCCTGCTGAACTTGTCATACATAACATTGCCTGGATACCTGTACTTAAAGCAGCTTTACCAATGTCAGGACCTAGCACAGTTATGGTTCCCTGCTGTATACCCAGTATTAGCCAGGGAGTGAGGTAGATGATCTTTCTAGGTAATAAGAAGGCTTAAGTTGTATCACTAAATGTGGTGCTGAGATACTTTTGCTTCATGGATAGGAAGCTTCTGTTGGCATTCTGCTTTGTGTGTGTGTGTGTGTGTGTGTGTGTGTGTATTATATGTATAGACATACAGATATGAAAAAATATCTTAAGGTTCAGACTGATATTTGAGAAGGAAAAAAGATACTTACTAGACTTAGTAGTTCAGAGTAGTCATAAAAATTTAGTGTCATCAAATCAAATATTTGAACATAGCTAGAGGTAACACAAGCTTTCCTACATGGGGTAGTCTTCCTGTGTGGCTTGTATATTCTAAAAAATGTTAGATTTCAAAATCATAGGCTGTAATGGGAATAAAAGTCTATGCATAGTTTTTTCTGTAAGAACCAATATTTGTTCTCTATGCCAATAATCTTGTAGTATCTTTTAATATAAAATGTAATTGAGAAGTTCAGATTGGAGGTTTCTGGTGAACTGCAGTGGACCACCTCTTTATGTGGGATAGCATTCCACGTGTTTGGAGTAGAGTTCACCAGCTCATACTTGTTAAAGTATTGTCATCTTGCTTTCATGGGTTAGAGTAGAGCTGTGTGCTAACCTGAATTAACCCTTAATCAGAGTTCTGCTTCTCTTGATACAGTGCTCACCAGTGAGGGCATTGTTTTCATCTCAGACTTCTCTCCATCCAAGCCTCCTTCTGGCCCTGGAAAGAAAGTGTACATTTCCAGTCCGCACTCCAGCCCAGCTCATAACAAGCTGGCCGCAGCCACGGGAGCCAAGAAGGCTCTTCATAAAGTAAAGATTTTAATCACTCAGGAGAAACCTAGGTGAGTGCAAGGGAAAGATTGACTAAAGCACACAGCTCTACCCCACCACTTCTGAGAGGGTTGACTTTGGAGCTCCCCTGGAGAGACCAGCATTCATTCCTTAGGCCACTGGTTGTGCTAGACCTTCTCACTGATTTTACAGATAAAAATATATCACTTCCTAATTTTGCTTGTGAAAATTAGAGATAATTTTGAAGTTGTGGTCACTGAACCAATGTGAAGACTAGGGGAAGCTGGATTTTCACATTGATGCACTTCCTCATTTATGTGCTGGGCCCTCTCCTCAGTCAAGAAGAGGTGGACATTTGTATGTAAGTGAAGGAAGGCATTGCCCTGCATGGCTGAGAGCTGGGTACCAAGGAGGCTCTGACTGAGTACATTTTTACCTTGTTCAGATTTCACTCTCCCAGTCTGAGCATTGGGTCTTTAGAGTATTTAGAGGCTTGTGACAGAGGTGGACAGACGCAGTGTGTCCGTCTAGCACTTAGTGTAGTGTCAGACATGTCCCATGCATTCAGAAAGCGTGAGCTAGCACTATATAAGAAATTGCACCTGAGGGAAATCATAAGGAACTGTTTACATGCATTACAAATAGATTACTGGGTTTTTGCTAGAACTACAATTTTATATTTTTTTATAGTTTTGGAAGCTTTCTTGGTATTTGTTTCAAAATCATTTCTAATATGCTAAGATTATTCTGCTAAGACTGTGAATAATTAATTATATCTGCTAAAAGATTGTGCTATAAATACATTTGGAATTTGTGAATAACTACTGTTTCTGTATATTAAGTCATAGTCTAATTTACTGGTTAATTTATCTCACATCCTATGCTGAGATGGTTTAAGATTGCTTTTTAAGTGCCTTGATAGAACTTTACATTTTTGTGGATTCCATGTCACAAGTAAATCATTTAGCAGACTAAATAGTTTTGTAGTGCTTGCTTTGTTTTCTATCATGTCATCTTGAGCTTTGGAAAGTGCTTTATTGTCCCTTAGGTGAACTGGGTGCATGTTTTTACATCCACCGACCCATGCAGTCTACTCCAGCCCTGGACATTTGGGTCTCTCTCATTGTACAGCAGAAGAAACTGGATCCCAGTGTCACTCAGGCTCGCACAGCTGGGGTTGGCAGCAGGAGGTTAATGCAATAGACTCCTGTTTTTCTAGTCACCCAGATTAACTCTGTTGTAAACTTCCAAAGCTTTCAATGTAATTATATCAGAATATTGAATGCTTAGTAAAAGATACTAAAATGAGTCTGAATCTTTTTCTACCTGCATAGAAGAAAATGGAAGAGAATAAACTGAGTTTGTTTAGGGTAGCATTAAAGTATGGGGACAGAGGAGAAGAGGTGCCTGCCCTATACCACAAGATGGCACAGTACTCCCGCTTCAATGGTATTTGTCACCCCGAATGTTTTATGTTTTAATTCTAAGTCTGTATTTCAGCAGTCTTGTACTTCTAATTGCAAAGGAAAAATTATATTGTCTTGTGAGTGCCGATACTGCCACTATCTCATCATAATCAGAATTCAGTACTTGATGTGCTTTGAAGATTTAGGAACACTGGTGTCTACCTGGCCCACACAATATTTTTGGCATAATTTGAATTCTGGCAATTAGCAGAGGTCTGAGTTTTAGCTGCTAGTCCATTGTGGTCATTTCAGGAAATGGTTGTTCATTCACGATAGTTTTCGTGTGATGGGGTCTTGGTGTTGATATTGATGGCAGTTCCTCTTTCATGCCTTTCTCAGTGCTGAGTTTGTAGCTCTCAATGACTGCCTCCAGTTGGCCTACCTGCCTTCCAAAAGGAACCACATGCTGCTACTCTACCCGCGGGAGATTTTAATCCTTGACCTTGAAGTGAATCAAACGGTGGGCGTGATTGCAATAGAAAGGACTGGAGTTCCCTTCCTGCAGGTATCTACATGTGTCAGTGTGTGTTTCTTCTATTTTGTCCATATTCTTTAAATATGCGTTGAGTTTCCTGAACTAGATTTAATGCTCTGTTGGATTTAAAAACCAACTGGTCTCTGTTTAAAGGTAATACCCTGCTCTCAGCGCGACGGCCTGTTTTGCCTCCATGAAAATGGCTGCATAACCTTACGTGTCCGAAGGTCTTATAATAGTGTCTTTACTACTTCAAATGATGAACCAGGTGGGTGCACATCTCAGTGATGTGAATGGTATTTCTCTTCAAAATGGTCTTAGAAAGCATCACAGAGAATAGTGTTGATGACATCCTTGTCTTGAGAAAGTGTTAAGATGTAATTACATGTATGACACACAATAGTGCAAACGCCCACCTGAGTTCTCAGCATTGCAACAGTGCCTCCTTTGTCATTCCTTCCTGATATGCGCACAGACCAAATAGATGTAACCTTCTGAGTATGTCCTCTGCTGTGCTCCCCTTATCCTGCACCCCTAGACTTTACGATAGCTTTCACTGTAACATGACAAAGGTTAAAGTCTCCAAGGCACCCACTGTCAGATCTTTGGCGATTATAGGTAATATATTTGTGAAATAAAGAACTACACTTAGATGGAAGAAATTTTATGGAGCGGGGTGTTTCCAGACTACTGCAAAGTAGTCTCAGTGCACTATTCACTGACGCTTTTCAAAGCATCCTTTAAATACAGGGTGTTGTGATCGTAGTTGTTATTTCAGAGATTATACTGTGTAGTTCTCATGTCAGTTATCTTTATAATCTGAAGCAATTAGTAAGTGAAACATGATGCTAGATTGGGCAGTTTGCACTAGTGACAGAATGTTATCATTTTAGTTGAGGTTATTTACACTGGAACAGGTGGTAGTTTTGGTTGTGCTTCCTCGCTAGCATATGAAAGAGACAATTTTTCTTTAAGATCCAGATCCCGTTCAGGAGCTGACCTATGACTTGAGAAGCCAGTGTGATGCAATCAGGGTGACGAAAACTGTTCGTCCCTTCAGTATGGTGTGCTGTCCTGTTAATGAGAATGCAGCTGCCCTCATAGTGAGTGACGGCCGGGTCATGATATGGGAACTCAAGTCGGCCGTGTGCAGCCGAAATGCACGGAACAGGTGAGTGAATGGTAGGTTGTGGTTTGCATAGGCTTTGATTGTTGTTTTCTGTTTCTGTTTTGTAAATTTACAGAATCATATAAAGAGGTTTTTTTTATAAAGCCATTTTAAAGGACATATGCCCTAGATCATTAGGTATCACCTGTGGCCAAGATTAATAACTACCACTGTACAAGAGCAATGCCGTGGTCTGAGATTGATATTTGAGTACCTGACGTGTAATGCTGATTTGAAATATGGGTAACTGTCTGCTCCCTGTGTCTTTGCAGCAGTTCCGGTGTGTCCCCGTTATACTCACCAGTGTCTTTCTGTGGGATTCCTGTAGGAGTGCTGCAGAACAAACTCCCAGACCTTTCCCTGGATAATATGATTGGTAAGCTTGCTTTAGTCCTCCAACTTGCACATAAGATATTCTTTTGAGCTGGGTATTGGTGGCACATGCCTTTAATCCCAGCACTCGGGATGCAGAGGCAGGAGGATCTCTGTGAGTTACAGAGTTCCAGGACAGCCTCCAAAACAATACAGAAAAACCCTATCTCGAAAACCAAAACAAAACAAAACAAAATTTCTCTTGAAGTGCAAAATTATAGAGTAAGTGACTTGGCAGCTATTATAAAGTCAAAGTTAATATTCAGGAAAACTAAAATGTAGAGTTTTTAATGTGAGATGAACTCTCACCCTGAACTCTTGGGGGGGAGGGTCTAGGCCCTGCCCTGGATGAAATGACAGTCTATGGACACCCCCATGGAGGGCCTCACCCTCCCTGGGGAAATGAGGAGATAATGGGGGAGTTGGGGGAAGGACACGGGAGGAGGGAAGGGAAAGGGAAAGGGACCTGGAACTGACTTATGAACCAACCATGTTTCTTTGTTTTTTTTTTTGGTTTTTCGAGACAGGGTTTCTCTATGGCTTTGGAGGCTGTCCTGGAACTAGTTCTTGTAGACCAGGCTGGCCTCGAACTCACAGAGATCCACCTGCCTCTGCCTCCCAAGTGCTGGGATTACAGGCGTGCGCCAATCTAAATTTAAACTTAAAAATAAATAAAAAATTTAATAATAAAAAAATAAAAAAAGAGAAAGAAAAAATGTGGAGTTTTTTTCCTAAGTAAACCAGTGGATTGTAAGCTATTTAAGCATGAAGGTATCTGAAGTGGCTTGGTTAGGCTCTGCAGTTGCTGGAATTAGAAAATTGCAACCTTGAGAGATTATGATCTAAATCAAAGACTGAGGGAGAGGATCACAGATGCCTAGACTCTGGGTGGAGAGACCCTGCTTTGCAGTCCCTTCCTCCTCAGGGCCTACGTGCTCCCTGACCCACAGCTTGGCAGTAATTGCTTGCTACTTGTAATTGAAAAATCCAACCCAAGTGTTGTTTCTTGATGTAAGCTCATTTAGGCTTTCTTTCTTTATAGTCCCTAATAATGACCCAGGTGCTGTTAACTGTGGGGTTATCTCTCTTTCTTCTAGTAGGTCTTCATTCTGCAAGGATAGTTCAGTGATTCAGTTCTGTATCCCCAGGACTGTGCTTTGTAGATATGCAATGAAGATTCACTGAAGGAATAAATTAGCTGAGAAATATTAGAAAAAAGAAAACTTTAATGGGTATTTTTTCTTTTTGAGATTCTTACTTTGAACAGATACTTATAATAAAATATCCAACCATTGCACAATCTTGGGGCTATGATATGAAAGGAAGAATGGGGACTTAACATTGTTAAATGTTATGAAACTTGGAATTGTATGACTTTACAATTGCAAGCAATTCTTTTTAAATTATCAATACGGTTTATAAAGGATTTTCTGCATCAAATTTTTCCAATGTAAATGAGAATGGGTATTATCTAGTGAGTTGTTTTATCTAAAATACCAGGTAACATACTACAAAGAGCAATACCTTATTGATCATAGTAATCAACTGATACTTTCTGTGTGCTTAGTAGTACACTTAGTGCTATGCCAAATGCATGGTGCATCTTACAGCCCTGCAGCATAGTTAATATGCCTCCATTTGTGTAGAGAATGAGTTCCAGAGAGGTTTCCAAACATGCCCTTAACCACATAGCAGTGGATGGAAAACACCACATCCCTATCTTCCTGGCTCCGGAGAAGGCACTTAAAAGTGGTCTCCAGTCCTACCCGCTCACTTAACAGTGTTTTCCAGTAATATGTGTTCCGTGGTTGTCTGGGGCAAGACCCTGACCTTGAAGACCTTAATTGTGTCACGTTTCGTCCGGTTGTACAGTCCTTTGTTCAATCACATCATCTTTTAGTTCTGCCTATTCTTCCAGACAAATTCTTATGAGGAAGTTTGGACATACTGACAAGTTTTGCAAAATTATTTGATCATTAACAATCTTCTGAGTTAATTGAATTTGTCTATTTTAGCATAAAATATTAAAGTAAAAATAATTATGAATGCAAATGAACAAAACGAATCAGCAAATGAAGCCCATACTCAGGTGAATTTTTATGTTGTTTAGGCATCTAAGTGATACAAATTACAGCATTTAAAACAAAAGATACAGACTGTCAAGCAGTTCTTGACAATGGAGTTTAAGTGTTAAATAAATAAAGTTTTGTCATTTGTAAGCATTTTAATTAAAACTTTTAATTAAACTTATAATTTGAATATCACTGTGTACTTGACCATAATGGAAAGCAATTCACTGAGAGATGGAAAGTGGTTTATGTTTGCTGTCAAGCCTGTAATTTCAGAACTGTCAAGCCTGTAATGTTCCAGAGGTGGGGGCAAAAGGATCAGTTCAAGATCCTCCTGGGCTACATAGGAAGTTCAAGGTCAGTCAGGCTACAGGCTCAAAAAAAGGATAACTATCTACAGTGGTACTTGTATGTTACATATATTCTTGATTTATTTATTTTACACATTTAAAGTATTTCATGATAAACTGTACATCTTTGTAGCTATGATGATACAGTAAGGCTTCTCATGAGTTCTTTGTGCTTGTTAGTCTAGTGTGTCTTACAAAGTCCCTCTAACTGAAAAGTAGCCCTGCGGAAAAGAAAGGTAGTCAGGTGGCAATGCGTTGCAGCATCTCACTCCACAGACAGAGTCCTAAGTTAGGTTTCTCACACTCTTCCTGAGGCGTCTTCTTAGTGCCCTTCTCCTAGGAGCTCTGTCTGAAGCAATTTTCTCAGAAGCAAGACCCTGGAGTATCCTAGTGTGAATCTATTAAAGTAAACCCTTGAGTTGTTAGTGATGTGACCTAAGATCCATGGGCAGCTCTAGACTGTTGTGAACTTGCTAGCTACAGTCCCTAGAATAGTGGTTCCCAGCCTTCTTAGTGCTGTGACCCTTTAATACAGTTAATTCCTCATGCTGTGGTGACCCCCAACCATAAAGTTATTTTTGTTGCTACTTCATAACTGTAATTTTGCTACTGTTATAATGTAAATATCTGTGTTTTCCAATGGTCTTAGATGACCCTGTGGAGGGGTCATTCAACCCCCAGAAGAGGTTGCAACTCATAGGTTGAGAACTGCTGCCCTAGAGAAATACCTCACACCTTTCTTTCTAGACCTGGTGAACATATTAAAAATGTTAAGGTAAGCATATCTAATGCTTTTCCTTGCATATCAGGGCAAAGTGCAATTGCTGGGGAAGAGCACCCCAAAGGCACCGTTCTGCAGGAGGTACACCTCAAATTCCTGCTGACAGGACTGCTCTCAGGACTCCCATCTCCTCAGTTCGCCATCCGGATGTGCCCACCACTGACCACGAAAAACATAAAGATGTATCAGCCACTCCTTGCTGTTGGTGAGTACTTGGCCTGTTCTTTTGTTAAACTCATGTTATAAGACTCTTAGGCTTCCTAGTTCTAGGAAGTCTATATTCCCTTGGATTTTTTTTAATAGGGTTTCTAAGTGTAGCCTTGGCTGTACTGGAACTCACTGCAGACCAGGCTGACCTCATACTCACAGAGATCCTCCTGCCTCTACCTCCTGAGTACTGGGATTAAAGGTGTGTGCCACCACTGCCTTGCTGGGGATGTTTTAAAAGGAGTAACAGGTTGAGGGAAATTGTATAAATCATTCCCTTAGTTTTTTCTATTTAGTTTCCTGTCTTAATTTTAATTGCGTTGAGTACATGTGCTTAAGATCATCTCTATGAACACATTTCTGAAATATCAGGGACTATCTGGGGCAGACAAAAAGCTTTAGGAATAGCAATGCCTTCGAGCTGTTGTTCAGTGCAGTGATGCAGAAATGCTGATTAACCAAGAACACCAGTGTCTTGACATGACTTGTTTAAAAGGAAACAGAACATATTAGAACACTGGTTAATGAGCTAAGGTTAGCAGATTTTATAACAAATGTTGAGTCTCAAAAAATATCAACTTTCATGTGTAGAAAAGTTTAAATTAAATTATTATGTGTATTGATTTCTATTTTAAAATCTTTCAGAGGAAATATGTCCCTGAGGTTAGGTAAGATTTCAGAGTATATGAGATTAGATCCCATTTTGGTAAGGAAGGAGACAGGTTTTCCTGTCTGTTCAGTTTGTTTTTAAGCATATTATTTTGATCCTTCTGTAGAAGATAAATTTAACAAAAGACTTTGGTGGAGTTGGCTCTTCTACTGAATTAGCACCCACCTCTTCTGTCATTCTGATAGGCACGAGTAGCGGTTCTGTGCTGGTGTACCACCTCACCAGTGGTCTGCTGCACAAGGAGCTCAGCGTCCACTCCTGTGAAGTCAAGTGAGTATGGCTTTGCGACACTGAGATTGCCAACTTCTGTGACATCAGAAAAATTCTCTTCGCTGAGTCTCGTAGGCTTTTCTGCATCGGGTGCTCTGCTCTGGTGTCTGCAGAGTGACAAGTGTGCAGTCAGCTAATGCGCCTCAGAAATGGTCACTCATTGTCTGCTGTGTGTGGGATATTGTGTTTATGGATTTCTCCTCATTCCAGGTTCTTTTCTCACTGGAAATCACTGTGTTGCCAGGTTTATGCAGTTTATTTCTTGACAAGACAACTCATGGCGTATTTGAGTAAAGTCATTTTTAGTTGTTAGTTTGAATATCACCGGGAAAGATACAAACTGAGAAGCATTTGTTTGATTTTGAGATGCAGTCTGTATGTGAGTGCAGTGTGTGCAGAGGCTTCTGAGAGAAGGCTAAACTGGGATCAGAGATCCTTCTGCTTCAGACATATTCCTGCATCTTCTGCTTTAGACAAACCCCACAGCTTTATTTTGCTGAATGCCGAACTGCTTTCTTTTTTTGCCTGTGAGAGATACACTATGAAATTTCATGTACGTGTAAAATGCCCAGTGCTTTAATGATCTTCGAATGAAAATATGAGAAAGGTTTTGTATTTTGTACATTTTGTAATTTAGTCTTGTGTGTACACTGAAAGCCTTGGTGAATCTAATGAACATATTTCAGTGTAAATACGTTTTCAAGAGATGGAGCAAGGTTAACCTTTTGAGTATCACAACTTGTGATTATAACTGAAATCTCTTCCAAGAGCATTGCCTGTGGTGCAGCCCAGGTGGTTGTTTTTACCATCTTAGGGTGTGCCCCTCCAGGGTCTCTGCAAATATATTTATGTAGAATAGTAGTGTTTTCAAGACATTGACCTTGGGGTACAGCAGCACTGCCCCTCTTTCTGACACTTCTTCCAGTGGTCTCCACTGCTACTGTTCTTCGCATCTTCTCTTTTTCTTCTTTTCCTGTCTACGTTTCCTTTTACCCTTATCTTTCGTGCATAGTGGTTCCTTTTATGACTGATACTAACCAATCGGAACTCTGCAGTGCTAACCATCACTAGTTCTAAGAAGATTATGTTTTGTGTCAGTATGTTGTGTCTATCATTTCACTGACCCCGCCACAACCCTAAAGAATAGATGCTGTCACCTTTCCAACTGACGAAGAAAGTGGGTACTGCAAAGCCTGGGGAGACAGTGGGTGGGATTCATTCCTGGGATCAGATCCCAAGCCCTTTCATGTAGCTATGTATCATCTGTGTGCTAGGTCTGCTAAGAACGTCAGTGGATTGGGACTCATGTTGATTGAGCCAAGAATCGTGCTGAGAATTTGACATGAGCTTCCAGAAAGTCAAGCATGCTGTCATTAGTTTCTGAATTCTGAATGTCAGTAACTGACCTGGATCAGTGAGGGCATGCATATGCACATACTGTGGTATTATCTAGGCCTGAGTCATTCTGAAACCGTTGTCTGGATAGTGAATACTGTGGGGAATGTGTTGCTCACACAGAGGAGTGCTGGGAATGGTCGTATGCAGACGCCCCACTTTTCATATGAATTTCCCTTTTTGTTGACATTTTTACGGTAATTCACTTTATATTCAGAGATGTTACCCAAGAGGATGCTAAAATCCTGCTGTCTTTGTGTTTCAGTTAATTCAGTTTAGTATTATAATTAAAACCATTATGAAAATTTCACAGATGTGCTAGAAAAAAGTCTGAACCAATTAGCAATAAACCCAATGTATTCTTGATTTTTCACATGCAAATTAAGGCTAACCTTTAGATAGTTGTTTTACTTGCATTTGAATCGTATGTAGACACGTGGCCAGGGACTGAATAATGACAGATAGCTGTGGGAGGTGCAAGGGGTGAGTAGGGAACTTGATGTTTCAATGTTTTACAAGGGATGTTTCACAGATGCCTATTGAACATTTTCTGTAAAACTAGATAACCAGAGACTTTGGTGCTTATAAACCAGTGGCAGATACAGAAGTTACAAAGTAGAATGATTGACTCTGTTAGATCACTAGTTTGTATCTTTGTCCAGTGAACTGAGTTTAAAACAATAGTCTGATACTCTGAAGAACTTGTTAACAGTAGTTTATATAGACATGGATGGAATCTACATTACTTTGATTATAATATTGCCTTGAATTCTTTTTAGAAAGTGAATGGTCTCTCTTGTTTACCTAGAAATTTACAAGGAATTTTAGGATTAAGGCCTTCAGAATTATGTGTTGCCATCCTTGTTGAGAAGTAGCTTCTGTGTTACCCCTTCTATAGATCCCAGCATGCTCGGCTTGTGAACTCATGGCGATCTGATGTAATCCTAAGATTACAGTTGTTCAGTGGCTAAGGATCCTACCAAAAAAGATTAGAGAAGTCCTGGATCAGCCATGAGCTGCTGTTCTTAGTCCTTCAGCTACTCAGTATAGAGTTAAGCCTGGACAACAGTGTTCTAATCCTGATGGCAGTGTGAAGCTCAGCTGTGTCTGACAGGAGTTTTTAGTCTTTTCTTCCGACAGATAACCCTGTCCTTATCTAATCTATTTGGAAATCCAGCTTGATTTTATTTTACTTATGAAGGTATAAGCTGCTGTTGTATTCTGTTCAGAGGCAGCATGTTCATACTGCCAGATCACAAATAAGCAGTCCCTGCAGGTTTGTGGCAGCTCCTGGGCTGGGACCACTCATGAACAGGGGAAGCACTTCCAAGAATCTGTGTCACACTGATTAACAGAGATGTGCTAGGCGAGATGCATGGTACATCCCCTCAAAGACAGTCCAGGATGCTGGGGATGTAGGTCAATGGTAGAGTGCTTACCTAGCACATGTGAGGCCCTGGGTTCAACCCTCAGGAACACACACAACTAGTTTATTACACTGTTGCCTTGGTTGGTCAGGCTTGGATCCAGTGGCAGTCTCACAGTCCTCTTGGGACCTTGCCTGGTCCCTGAGGTCAGAGTGTGTGTGGCTCACACAGCTCCTGTTGAGCATACTGTCCCTTTTCTGCTAGGATATAAGCTTGAAATGGATAGCAGGTGTGTCTGTCTCATTCACAGAGCTTCATTTAGCCCCTGGCATGAATTGGATACTTAATGGGTTCATTTAAAATTCAATGCATGAGAAGTGGGAGGGCAGGTTGCTAGTGCTCAGAGCTGCTGACGCCACTATTCCAAGTGTTTAACGAGATAGTGAGTTGATCTTGCTAGCAGCAGGACTTGGAAAATGCTCTGAGAGAATCTGTAGGTGAGCATCTGCTTGAACACTACCAGGGTTATAGACAGTAGATCAAATGCAGTGATTCCTTCCTTTTCTCTAGAAAAATTGAAGACTTGCCTGCTAGGGGGAAGAAAAGAGAAAGAAGAGACAAAAGGACTTTCTTAATGATTAGCCCAGTTATATGCTAACCACTGTGGGTATGTTTATTTAAAGCAGTCCTGATGAATTCCTCAATAACTGTGCTAACCATGAGTGTGATAATGGCCAGTCCTTCTGTGTGTACTCAGTAGTGTCTGTGTACTGAGATGCGGGGATCCAAGTGAGCAAGTACTAGAGTCAGTCTGTTCCAGCTGTATCTGAAGAAGAAAGGAAAAAGGTGTGCTCAGAGTGGAAGTTCCAGACTGTACTCATTTCAGGCAACCATTAGTCTGAGTGTGTCAGTACAGCTTTATTTTGAAATGCTTGTAATCCTAGCTATCACAGCTGTTGCTACTGCTTCAACAGTTACAGCTCTCTGTGGATTGTGTTGTCCTTCTACCAAAAGATGAGTACATGGGTCCACAGGAACCAAGGAGGGAAATGCTTGTAGTTAACATAGCGGATACAGAGTTGACTGGTGTCTAACCAACTAATCCCACAGTTGGGAGGCTGAGGCAGGAGTATCACTGTGGACTACACAGTGTGCCTGAGGTCAGCCTGGGGTATAGAGCAAGACTGTCTCAAAAGAAAATAAATGACAGCAGGTCAAGTTCAGAGGATAGAGCAGAAAGCTTGGATGATGCAGTGCCTAGTGGTCTTAAAAGCTGCAAACAGGGCCTTACATTGACACAGGAGATAATTGCACTGCTTGGAAAAAAAGCAAAACAGAAAAAAAACTATTTTATGCAAATCTAGTAATTGCATTCAGGTTGCTGTAGATCAGAGGTCAATAAACATTTTTTGTGGAGGATCAGTAATAAAGTTCCGAGGCTCAAGAGTTTAGAGCCTGAAGCCTCTCACAGCTGTTCAAGTTTGCCATTGTATTATGAGAGCAGCCAGAGGCACCTCATTCACACTGCAAATGGATGGCTCTGACTACTGATGAACAACTGTAAATTGGACCCAGTTTTAGTCTTTTGCCTAGCCAGCCTTTCTGCGTGGAAGAAAATGTGTCAGCATTGCCTGTCAGCCCGCTGCTGTCCTGTTTGGATGGCCCTCTCCAAAGCTGTGCTTTCTCTGTGTGATGGAACACTTGGGGCTTCTGTCTCCTTCACATCTTGAAGCTGAAGGCAGATTCTTTGCTCCATCAAATTTTGCTTGTGTTTTGCAGCTGGGCATTTTGATAACATCTCTAGTGGTCACTTTAAGGATTCTTCTCTGAGTGTCTCTGAGCTGCTTCCTTTGAACATTTAGGTTCTTGAAAACTGCTCTGAAGTGTTTCTCCCCAGCTGAATTTTAGTATTCATTTAATTTGAACAAATTTCACATATGTCAGAGTATGCAGTAATGTAGCCTAAAGGTAAGAATAACATTTTAATAACATCATTAATAAAATGAAATCTTAGGAAAACCTTATTTTTCAAATAAACATTTCAAATGAAAAAAGGGTACAAGACTAAAATTTGTTTGCTTTCTAGGGGTATTGAATGGACAAGCTTGACCAGTTTCCTTTCTTTTGCTGCTTCGACCCCAAACAACATGGGGTTAGTGAGAAATGAGCTTCAGCTGGTTGATCTCCCAACAGGTCTGTGTGTTGGCTTCCTGAAAGACAGGGGTGGTATATCATGCCAATGGAGACACTGTTGGCATAGAATGTGCTCAGAACATTCTCTCACCTTGGTGTGTGTCCTTATATCTTGTTTCTGTGGCCACTCTGTGGTTCTGTAGTAATTGCCCTAGAATAGCCACAACATTGTTTCTATGTACATAATATTAATGTAACACAAGTAAGTAGAAAATGGTTAGCCTGAACTCACAGATGCGTAACAAAAGGTGGGACCCAGTTTTCTAATGCACACAGTGCTTTATATATGACAGCACGCACGTAGAGGTCAGAGGACAGCTTGCAGGAGTCAGTTCTTTTTAATCATGTTGACTCCTGAGATTGACCTCAGTGGCAAGTGATTGTACCCATTGAGCCACTGAGCCATCTCACTGGCCCTCTAAAAGATCAATTTTTAAGCCATCTCTGTAGGTTCTCAGAGTTTGGAAACCACCGTAGGAAGCCTTCAAAGTTTTTATAGGTTAGTGATGATTTTTAAATGCTCAAATTTAAAACTTGGATAGCTACAGGCTGATTGGATTAGGGAAACTTGAATATAGGAAGTCTTTGCAATAGAAAACATTCCAGGGCTAGGGGTGTAGCCCCATTCATACAGTACTTGCCCAGCATGTGGGAGTTCTAAGTTCTAGCTCCAGCACCATATACCCAGGAGTGACCCCAGCACTCAGGAGGAGGAAGGCACATTATCCTCAGCTACATGAGTTCAAGGCCAGCCTAGAACAGGTGAGTCCAGTCTCATAATTTTAAAGGAGTGTTTCTTAAGCTGGGAGATGGCTCAGCAGGTAACCCACACAGAGGAAGAGAACGGACCCCACAAGTGTTTTTCTGACATCTGCCTGTGCACACTCACAAACCCACACACTCAGGAAATAACTAAATGTGATAGAAAGAGAACATTCCAGTAAAGTAACTTGTTCAACGTTATTTATAAGGCTTAACCCAATGAATTTAAGGAATGAAGAACTTTAAACTATACTAGTACATGAGTTTTAAATATAGTGATTTCAAATAAGTGAGTTTCTTCAAACTAATACAGTAGCTGGGCGTGGTGGCCAGATCTCATTGAGTTCTAGGCTAGCCAGAGCTACGTGGTGAGACCCTGTCTCAAAAAAAACAAAACAAAAACAAACAAGGAAACAATAGTAAACCAAAATATGCAGATTTTTTAAAATAATGATGTGTAGGTGTGACAGTTGTTTGGTTGCTTTTCTGTATACAGTTGATGTTAACTTAAAGAATCATCCATCCCATATATCACTGCTGCTGTAGTGTCAGGAAGTGACCTGCCTGGGCACTTTAGGTCCTAGGTTCCTGCTTTGCTAGCATACTGGCTCTGACTTTATCCCAAGCAATATCATATCCCACAGTTTGAACAAGACTGTTATTAGTCATTCACATTTTAAAAATCCCTGTGTTCTTCAGCAGAACTCTTAACTAATTTAGAATCTGTTACAGATTTCTCTTGTCTGTAATACAGTCTGTAATACTGATTTCCTGAAGAGGGATTTGTGAGTGAGCGTTCAGGTGTAGGTTTTTGTAGCTGGATGCTCTTGAGCAGTGGTTCTCAACCTTCCTAATGCTGCTACCCTTTAATATGGTTCCTCATGTTATGGTGATCCCCATAAACTATAAAATTATTTCATTGATACTTCATAACTGTAGTTTCACTACTGTTATGAATTATAATGTCAATATCTATGTTTTCCAGTGCTCTTAGGTGGTCCTGTGAAAGGGTCATTTGATGCCTTTTGGGGTTCATGACCCACAGGTTGAGAAATGCTGCTCTAGAGGTTAATAGACTGCAGATTCTACAAAGGACCATTTGGGGAGTGTAGATTGCACTTGCTGCCTGTAGAACAGGGGCGTCTAGGTATGTTCAGTTGTTTTCCACTTGTTATGTTCTTTCTTTAATTCAATGTAAGTAAAAATCTCACAAGAAGATATTAAAATATATTTGTTCAGGTAAAGGTAGAATTTGTTTTTATTTATGAAAACTGTTGTCTTTTTTGGCACTTAACTAATACAGTGTATAGTTATAACTCCCAGTTTCACTTAGACATTTTGGTAGGAATGTGCTCAGACATTTCATCTAATACTTTGCACATAAGAAATCTTAACTACTCATTTCAAGAGGTTTTTTTCTCCCAACTAATTGGCATGTGAACACACAGGTCTGTTCTGTGACTTTAAGTGTACAGTGATTGCTGGCAGTCCACAGATGCCCTAAACTTTTAGACAGTAGCATCTCTGTTTCTAAAATTGAATTACTGAATTTAAGAAACTATATAACACTAAAATATCTATTTATAAAATAAGTATTTGAATGTAAATAATATATTTTGCTTCCTTTTCACATTTTAAGAATATTTTTCAATTTAGCTATTAGAGCTGGCTTTGAAGCAAAGGCATGAATAACAGGAGGCAGAGGGTGTGATTGTGTGACTGACCACATCAGGCAGTACATTTCTTGTTTTCATGTGGTATGTGCTATTCACTTTTTCATTTTTCCATTAAAGGGAGGAGCACTGCTTTTCGTGGTGATCGAGGCAATGACGAGTCACCCATTGAAATGATCAAAGTATCTCATTTGAAGTAAGTGTCAACATACACCATCTATGATTTTAGCTTAATGGTATATCACAATTGTTTTTTAACTTTTAAGAAAGTAGATTCCCACTTATTAACATATTAATATGTTAATATTCCTAGAGTTGGTTGGTAATAGCCAGTAGTTATGTGTGGCCATATCAAAAGGGTAGATGTGGAGACAGCCTTGAGATGCTCTTTCCTTTGCTTCCCTCCCCCCTCCCTACCTCTGTTTTCACCAATCCTATTGTATGTGTATTTTCCTTGGATCAAAAATTCAAAGGACTATTGGAAACAAAATGAACTTAAATTGTACACAGAGAAAATGAGATCTTTCACAATAATCCCATGCTCAGAAGGGCACAAGACTTAGATGACAATAATCTTTATCAGGAAAAACACATTTTGTCAATTTGTAAAAACTGTCTGTGTTGGCTAGTCTTATGCCAACTTGATCCAAGCTAGAGTCATCTGAAAAGAGAAATGAATCTCAGTTGAGAAAAATGCTTCCATAAGATACAGCTGTAAGGCATTTTCTTAATTAGTGATTGATGTGGGAGAACCCAACCCATTGTGCCATCCCTGGGCAGGTGGTCCTGAGTTCTATAAGAAAGTAGGCTGAGCAAGCCATGGGAGCAAGCCAGTAAGTTCCTGCCCTGACTTCCTTCAGTGATACACAGTGATTTGAAGACGTAAGCCAAATAAATCCTTTCCTCCCCAACTTGGTTTTGGTTATGGTATTTTGTTGCAACAATAGACACTCTAATTAAGACAGCTGGTTTTACTAATACCATGACTTGAAAATTCACCCCAGAGTCATATTATTTTAGAAGACAGTGAAAAGTGATAGCAGTGTATTTTGGGATTTCTGTGTGAATTTTAGATGTTTACCCAAAACATTCTCCTGGGGTTTTGGTCTGTGTATCAGAGCGGGGAAGAATGGACATCTTAATGAATTTTTAAGTTCATGAATGTGACATATACCACCACCCATTTAGCTCTTCTTTGTCCAGAAATATTATATACTTTTCAATATGGCATTGCATGCAGTATTGTACATGATTCAATATGTAAGTCTTATGTTACTTTCAGTATTTTATATTTTTTATGATGTTGTTATAAATGGATTTTTAAATCTCAGTTTCCAATTATTATTATACATTGAACTACAATTAAGTTTTGGATGGTTCCCTTGAACCTTGTGACCATGCTAAGCTGAGTTGTTAATTTTAGTAATAATTTTGTTGATTCCTTAGAAGACTCTGTGTTAGACAGTCTTAGTTGTTAATAAAGACACTTCTGACCTTTCTTTTTCACCTCTAGGCCTTTTGGTTTTTTTGGTTGCACTGAGTAATGCTGCTAGTAAATATTGAATGCAAGTGGTGAGAGCACACAATTGCCATGCGCCAGGATCTTAAGTCCTGGCCCTTTAACATAAGCATTCCCTACTACATGACACCATTTTAACACTGCCTATACTTTTTGATATGGTATATTTTCGTTTTATTTCATGTCATGCTATCTTAACATTCCCATGACATATCTATATATTTGGGTTCTTTTCCCCAGATACATCCTTCTGTTATTTTCTAGTTCTGTTGTAGTCAGAGAGCACATTCTGTGTTATTTCAGACTTCTTAGATTTAATGTGATATGGCACATGACTTAGTATCTGGCCTACCTTAATGAATGTCCCTGTGACTTGAAAAGCTGTTGTTAGTCTGTGAGTTGGGTTTTCTGCATGGTTACCCAAGGCTGCTGTGTTCATGCTGGTTTTCTATTGCAGGTATTCTGTGTAGTACTAAGTGAGTGCATAGTGCCTAGTTCCCTACATTAGTTATGGGTTCGCTGACTTTTCTCTTGAAGACATTAGGTTCTTATGGGTGTTCTGTGCTCCATAATCAGACACACATTTAAGATCATGTTGTTGTTCTTAATTATTTTTATCACTAGGAAGAATCTTTTTATCTTGGGTTTTGCATTTGGAAATAAGTCTGGATAATCTGTTATTGGAACAGCCAGTGCAGTTTTGTTTTGATTAGTATTTATATTTGTTTATCCTTATGTATGCACTCTGATAAGTCTTTGTGCTCTTGAGTGGTTTTCTTCTGGACATCGTGTGCTAGGAGCTTACGCCTGTACTTGCCTGCTTACGGTGTGTACTGAGACCCTCTAGCGTCCTATTTACATTTCAACCACGCAGCTCTCCTATCTTCATCCTCTCTGCAGAGTCTTTGAAAATGGAGCTGGCAGTTTCCTGTATTGTATTGCATTTCTGATCATTTTCACTAAAACTGCATCCAAGTGTGTACCTCAGTTTATGTTTCCTCTTTTTTTTTTTTTTTTTTTGGTTTTTACGAGACAGGGTTTCTCTGTATTGTTTCGGAGGCTATCGGTCCAGCCTGGCCTCGAACTCACAGAGATCCGCCTGCCTCTGCCTCCCGAGTGCTGTGATTAAAGGCGTGCGCCACCACCGCCCGGCTTATGTTTCCTCTTATGTGGAACAGTCAGTGCTAATCTTCCCTTTGCCCACTATGACTTCATCTGTGCCTCTCGACTTGTCAAGTTCTCTTTGCACTGGCAATCTCAGCTTCTTAGTGATTCAGATTTAATGTAACTTTGAACGTGACTTCTTGTGGGGTCTGAATGTTAGTTCAATTGCTTATGCATGGGACATGCGTCTGATTTTTTTTTCTTGGCTTACTAATTCATGATGTTTTGTTGTAAAATGGGATCTTTTTGATAAATTTTATTTTTTTGCTGTTTATTTTAGGCAGTATTTGGCAGTTGTTTTCAAAGATAAGCCCCTGGAATTGTGGGATATTAGAACTTGCACCCTTCTTAGAGAAATGTCTAAAAGCTTTCCTGCTATAACTGCATTGGTAAGTCACAGCCTCACAGCTCATTTTCCTGACTACAGACCTTTGTGGTAGCTATTTTTCTGTAGCTTGAGTTAACATCATTCCTGCCATGTATTTTCTTGTTAAAATGTGTTAACATTTGGATATATTGAGGAACATAATAAATATAGTTATGAAAGAAGATGGGCCCTAACTGGTTGTCATTCTTGAAATAAAAAGATATAAAATTGGCCATGATATCTGATATTAGCACTTTTTAAAAGCCATAGAAATAAAAGCATTGCCCTATTGACATAAGAAAAGGAAATGGGTCAACATCAGAAAGAGTTCAGAAATAAATCCATGGGTATTTGTGGTCCACATACATAGTATAGCCATATGCGAATCAAAGAGCATAGTCAGACTGTTTAGTAGTGGTGTAAGAAAACAGTTTCACCTTTTATTTTTTAAGCTGTCATGCAAACGTACATTGTATGTTAGGCACTCCGCCTCCCAACTCTCCCTTTTCTCTATTCACTGGTAACCTGTGTCTCTAGATAGAAACTATCCCACTCTAATGGAAGAAACTAAAAAAGTAAGAAATGAGATGGTATTAACACAGCACTAATTACATACATTAGATTTTCATGCGTGTGAGAATTGGCCATGGGAGCATACCCTGAAGTGCCTGCACTGGAGAGGCGGAAGTAGGAGGGCAGTTCATTTCATATAGCCTGAGCCAGACAGCAGAGGACTGTCTTAGAAATATACACATGTACAATAGCTACGTGTGAAGAACTTTTATATAACAGGGCTGGAGATGTGGCTTAGTGGTCAAGAGCACTCACTGCTTTTCCAAAGGACTGGGGTTCAATTTCCAGCACCATGTGGTGGCCCCAAACTGTCCATACTCATATGGTACACAGACATACATACAAGCAAAACCATGCATACCTATAAAATAAACTTTAAAAAGGAACTTTTACATGGGAGGATACTAAGCTCATTAGAATAGGTGGAGGTATAAGAATAAGCATGTAAATGAGCAGCTGTGTGAGCACCTGCACCTGAGAGCAGCCTGATGAGAGACCACGACTCTCTAGTCCTGGGTGGGTAGAATGCACAGGACTGTAGTGGAATTCATTTCGTCTTGTTTAAAAGAAAATGAAAACCTACTTGTAGAACTTTGCCATTAAATGATGCCCCCACTTGAGAATCAGTGGTGTGCTGATAGCCCTTTCCAGCTGCTCTAAGCAGGCTTTGATAGAGGGGGTCCTGGCATATAATTTGCTTCTGCTACACAGGAGTGGTCGCCATCTCACAACCTGAAGAGCCTGAGAAAGAAACAGCTTGCCACCCGGGAGGCCATGGCCCGTCAGACTGTTGTCTCGGATGCAGAGCTGGGTGCTGTGGAGTCATCTGTGATCAGGTACTGTGTTCTGTTCCCTGTGGGTGTTCTGACAGCGACCCTGGCAGACACCATGCAGGGCATCTGTGGTAGCGAGTTAGACTCACTTGTGAGCATTCATTCAGCACAGACCCAGAGGACTGAAGTTGAGCTCTGTTGTTCTTGTATTCAGGGTTATCAGTAACACACAGTGCTGTTAACCTGTCAGCAGTCATGAGTGTGATCAAGCCAGCACCTTTCCATCCTATGAATGTCAAAAATGCAAATGAACACTGACATGGTTAGAGATAGAATCACTGTCAAAGAAAATGTACTGGGAACCCTGGATTGTTATACTAAACTTCAGAAGTTTTTAAATGGTCTTGGAACTCCTATAAATACATCTATATGGTGGGAATTAGTGGGTGTCACTCTAGGGGAAAAATGATCTTTTTCTCTATTTTAAAGCTTATTACAGGAGGCAGAAAGTAAGTCTGAACTCAGTCAGAACATCTCAGCTCGGGAACATTTTGTGTTTACTGACAATGATGGCCAAGTTTATCATCTCACTGTCGAAGGGAACTCTGTAAAGGACAGTGCTCGGATTCCACCAGATGTGAGTGTCATCCTTAATACATCTCTGTGACGAATGTGATTGTGGATCTTATTTATTCATATCCAGTGAAGACATACTTAAGGAAACATCTTGAGAAAAGCCTAATTTAAAAAATATTCCTATTTGAGGAGAAGTCATCTCTGATTGAACTTGGTCCATATCTCCTCAAAGTAACATAGCCACCCCTAGACCACGTGTGCTGTTCCTTCTTACCACGATGGTGGTCCACAGGAATTATCTGTTTGCTTATGAAGCTGAGGATGGGAAGGGACTTTCCAAGGTTCATGGCTGAGTCATGACAGAGCCATGTTTGGAACTCAGCCATCCTGTTTACATTCCATGGATTTTCATGAAACACTTGATTAGTTTGGGATAATTATAACTAGATTATAAGTTTAGTAGCATTAATATTTACTCATTTCTTAGGTATCATTTTTGGCCTTGTGGAATCAACTATAGTTAATAATTGCTATCAGTACTTAACCGAGGGAGTCTGCCTCTTCTTCAGTCAGCCACTAAATGAAGTTTCTGTTTCCCAGACTCTCTGGCCATGGGATTGTAGGCTGGCACTCCCCAGATCTATGTCTAAAATCCATATATGAGAGAGTACATGCCATGTTTCTCTTTTTGTGACTGGGTTACCTCACTCAGGATGGTTTCTTCTAGTGCCATCCATTTGCCTGCAAATTTCAGGATTCCATTATTTTTTCTGCTGAATAGTACTTCGTTGTGTAAATGTACCACATTTTCTCTATCCACTCTTCGGTTGAGGGTCATCTAGGTTGCTTCCAAGTTCTGGCTATTACAAATAAAGCTGCTATGAACATAGTGGAACAGACATCTTTGTTGTATGAATGGGCATCTTTTGGATATATGCCTAAGAGTGGAGTTGCTGGGTCTTGTGGTAGATTTATTCCCATTTTTCTGAGGAATCTCCATACTGATTTCCAAAGTAGCTGAACCAGTTGGCACTCCCACCAGCAATGGAGGAATTGTCCCCCTTTCACCACATCCTCTCCAGCATAAATTGTCATTGGTGTTTTTGATTTTAGCCATTCTGACAGGAGTGAGATGGTATCTCAGAGTTGTTTTGATTTGCATTTCCCGCATGGCTAAGGATGTTGAGCACTTTCTCAAGTGCCTCTCAGCCATTTTAGACTCCTCTATTCAAGAAAGCCAGTAACAGAGTGGGAGGACTGATGACCAAAGGGATTAAGACTGGGCTGGTTTAACCCCCAGAAACAGCTGACCTGACAAAGGTTAACTCTTGAATCCCAGGCATCAGCCTGGGAATCCAGCATGGGACTGATCAAGAACCCCTGAATGTGAGTGTCAGTGAGGAGGCCTAGGTAATCTATTGAGACTTGGGCAGCAGATCAGTACCCATCCCGAGTATACACACCGACTTTGGACTCCCATAGAACAATGTGAGGTGCACTCTCACCCTGAACTCTTGGGGAAGGGTCTAGGCCCTGCCCTATATGAAATGACAGACTATGGACACCCCCATGGAGGGCCTCACCTCCCTGGGGAAATGAGGGGATAATGGGGGGGTTGGGGGGAGGGCACAGGAGGAGTGGAGGGAAAGGGAGAGGGACCTGGATCTGACTTGTGAAGCAACCTTGTTTCTTATCTAAATTTAAACTGAAAAAAAATTTTGGTATCAGTATACATCTTACAGATTGCTTTTAATAGATTAATTAATAGACTGTTAACTAGTACAGATTATAATTAAATAGAAGCATGAGGAGGGATTTCACACAATGTGTATTTAATTAAAATTCCCATCTGAAAATAGATGTCCTAATAGAAGGCTGATTCTCATGTTTAAAATGGCCTAGTGAAGACGTTAACTAGCTGCAGTCATTAAAGTTAAATGGGGCAGAGGAACAGTGTCAGTTAGGGTCACAGTTGCTATGATGGACGCTGTAGCTATTGCAATGGGGAGAAAGGGCTTATTTCGTCCTACATCTCTCAGGGCACATGCTATCACTGAGGAAAGTCAAGGCAGTAACTGAAGCAGAGGCCATGGAGGAATATTGCTTATTGGCTTGCTCACCGTGACTCGCTCTGCCTGCTTTCTTGATGTCACTGCCTAGGACCACGTACCCAGGGATGTCACTGCCCACAGTGAGTTGGGCCATACCACATCAATCAGTCAAAAAAAAAATGCCCCACAGGCTAATCTGCTGGAGCCATGTTCTCAGTTGAGGTTCCCTCTTCCCAGATGACCCTACCTGTATAAAGTTGACATTAAAACCAGCCATCATGGGTATCCACTCCAAGTTGGTGCCATCACATGGCTTTTTTATAACTAATGTTGCTGGTGGTGAGAGCCAAGTGCTTCATCAAGTGGCTCTCTGTAAAACTTGAGTCACATCCCATCTTGGCAGCTGGCTTCTCAGGTGAGTGAGTCAAAAGAGCCAGGATAGATGATCCCCATTCACAAGTAACACCTTGTCACTTTTGCAGTCTACTGTTGATCCTTGGATCAGATCTACTTATTGTGGGAAGTAACTACTGAGGCCCTTGGGTGGATGGAGTTCTTTAGAGGCTAGCTACCAAGTCTTCCCTATTAACAAGCAAAGAATTGAAGGCATACTCCTAAAACCATTATTGCAAAATTGAAGTTAGCATGAGAATCTTTTCATATTGTAGCATAAAATTAACCCTTACATAGAAGAATTAAGTCATATCTAAGACTTAGTTATATCTATGTTTAAGTATATCTGCTATTGTTTTAAAGATTTTGAAAGAATGGATGTAGTAATATGAATGTGGAAAGTTGATGTTTGGTGATTATAATAGGAAAGTTAACTTCAAATGCATGCAAGGAAAAGCAGTTGTAGCTAATGCTGCTGAAAATTTGGAGAGCCCACTGTGCACCCTTAGCCTCCACATAGCTCCTCTTTTAGAAGCCTAGGGAAGATGCTATCTTGACTCTGACAGAGTTACTTACAAGTAATTTAATCTCACTTTCCAGTTGCTTCACACTGAGGTTAGAATGTAACAGGGCCAAAAACTCAAAGAACCAGTCTTTCTGACTAAACCAAAGAAAAGGCTTTGGGCTTCAGACATGAGTATTTGTTTTTTAATTTATTGCATTAATATTTATAGCATATATGTGGCAATCACAGGACAACTTGTAGCAGTCAATCCTTCCTTTCTACCATATAGATCCCAAGTCTCAAACTCTGGCTGTCAGGCTTGGAGAATCTACCATCTAAGCTCTGGCCGGCTCTGGTCCTATACATGCCTTTTCAAGGGAGTCATGCCACATGGCTAAGACGGTGTCACCTCTGTTTTGTGGGGTTTTGAAATCTGGGTATTACAACTCTCTTTGTTCCGCTGAATTCTTCCAAAATGAATGTGAGTCTTTGAAGGAATGACTGTATTAGTAAGCATGCAGCCTCTAGTGAAATTGGTATGCATGTCAGAGCACATTATGTTTAGGGAAGGAATTGATATCTATATACTATATGAGAATTGGTTTTGGTTTTTTATTTTTCTGAAGCTGATCTTTTTTCCAGGGGCTATAATGCAGTGTGTAGGAAAAAGGATTTGTTTGTTTCAATCCAATATTTTCCTTATTGTTCTTTCAAATGTAAAGTTCTAAACATTGATTTAGATTTGAATTTTTCACTCTGAATTTTGGCCCCCAAACTATAAAGCACATAAAATGGTAAAAGGAAAGAGAAAACTTGGCATATTTTAAATTGTAGGTATGTGTAGTCCTCAGTGGCTTGCTTTATCTTGAAAATGGAAAGAATGAGACAGTGAATGTCTGCTGTTTGTGTGTCTGCCTGGCATGTGGGCAGCCCAGCAACAGGGCAGTGAGCTCTGCAGAGCTCTGAGAGCCACGGGGTACACAGCAGGCCCTCCAGAAGCACCTCTCCTGCTCCCCCAGCACTGCAGGAGGGGATCCTCCTGTCTGCACAGTTGAATTAGCACAGCTACGCTAGTTTGTGGGCTAATTTAACCTATAATATTCTCATTTTTAAATCTGAAAAGGAAAGTAAGATTTAAAATGTGAAAGTATTCAAGACAAAGTAAACTTAGAGGCAAATACTTCTTAAACATTCCATTCGGATTTCAGAGAAATGGAAATAAGGTCTAAGAACCCTGCTTCATATTACACAGAGTCTCATGCTCTTATTGTAAGTTGTTTTTGTTATTAAGCTCATTGCAATATTGATTTGTAATTCTGTTTTTCTTTAGTTTCTGGGATATCACCAGGATTTATAAAATATTAGGGAGGCAGTTGGTCATTTTGTCAAGCATTGGCACATTCCTGACCTAACCATAGAGGCCCCTTTGAATACTTTAATGGTTCTATAAATGCAAAGCAAGTTTTGTTTTTATGAGTGGAGTGAGTGTAGTGAGTAACAACATTATTTAATGCCAACTCGAATGTGTGTTTACAGTGTGGCAGACATTCCTTTCAGGGCTTTAGCTTTATAGATATACTACCAGCACCGGACTCCACCAACAATAGAGCCAAGGCACAGAAAGGTTAAATAAACACATCCCAACCCCATGATGTCAAGGCAGTCTGATGCCAGAGCACTAGTGCTTAGGGCCTCTCTTCCTCCTTGAGCCTCTGCTGGATCTCCCCACTATGCTCACCTCTTACAATAGTGTGTCGGCAAAGTACCGAGTCTTTTTTTCTAGTGGACAAACACTACACTACACAGAGGGTGACTGAGTTTCCCTTGGAATGGATTTATATAACCTTTTGTAATGAGATAAATTAGAGTTGGCTCTCTAGACTGCAATTTATTTTTTTCTTTCTGGAATTTTCTTTTTCCTAAAGTATTTCTTCCCAAAAGACACATCTTCTCTATAAATGCAGTTTGGATAACTACATCCAATGTCTACTTGAATGAACAATTTGGATATCCATCAAATTGAAATATCCTGTTTTAGCACAGTTGAAGCTGACATGCAGTGGCTTTTTCAGTGTTTAAAGTTTTAAGATATGATAGCATTCATACAAAGTAAATGATTTTTAAGTAAATTATTTATTATTTCATTGTGATCAGTACAGGGAAATATTTCTGTTCTAATGGCAACTCAGTTGAGAAGTTCACCTGTAGTTTTGTTGTTCTTGCTTCTAGGGTAGCATGGGCAGCATTACCTGCATCGCTTGGAAAGGGGATACCTTAGTGCTTGGAGATATGGATGGAAATTTAAACTTCTGGGATTTGAAAGGCAGAGTATCCAGGTAGGAGCCAAAAGAAATCTTTGTTCAAGTGGAAACTTACAGCTGTAAATCTGACTGATAAGTGTAAATTGGAGTTTTGAGCCCTTACTGTCTAAACTTTGGAGGAAGAATGGTCGTGAGCCAGGCTCTGGTCAGCACAATAGACCCTGATCAGCAGGCAGCCATACAGAAGGCCTGGGACCTCGCTCCAACAGATCTTAGTGGGCAGAGCTACCTGTCCAGTGTGGCTGCCAAGAATGTAAAGTGGCTCTGCCATCCTCACACCTGATCAGAAATAGTGGGCATACTGGCAGGGTTGCGTTTGGTATCATGTTGGTGTTTTTATTCTTTGTCCCCAGAGGAATACCCACACATAGAAGTTGGGTGAGGAAGATTCGTTTTGCTCCTGGCAAAGGAAACCAGAAGCTGATAGCAATGTATAACGATGGTGCTGAAGTGTGGGACACTAAAGAGGTAGGCCCGGCCCTGCAGCTGGCGGTGAAGCAGAGGAAGCGAAGCATGGGACCTGCTTCTGTTGTCCACCTTTTCTGAAAACTGAGTCCCCAGTAATAATCTTCAGACTTCTTATAAGAAATTATTCGTTAGAGAATTTTGCTCACATGGTATTTTCTGTTGTAAGCGAGACAGCATGACGGATTGATTGATTGATGTTTTAGTGTCATCACTGTGACTGAGACCTGTGGAATGCAGACTGCATGTGGGAGATGGGCTGCCAGAGACTCTTCATTTGCAGAGATATACTGGGCCTCAGCCACGCAGTCTCTGACCATTTAATCCAGAAAGGTAAACAACTTCTTTCTCCGTCAATCATGTCGCAGGTTCAGATGGTGAGCAGTTTAAGAAGTGGAAGAAATGTGACCTTTCGGATTTTGGATGTGGACTGGTGCACATCAGATAAGGTGATCTTGGCATCTGATGACGGGTGCATCAGAGTCCTGGAGATGTCAATGAAATCTACGTGTTTTAGAATGGATGAACAGGAGTTAACGGGTAAGGCGCACTCCTGATAGGGTGCTTGCTGCTACAGGCTATGGCCATCTAGACAGAGGGCAACTGCTGCTTCATTTCAGAGAACGCTTGGGAGAACATGACTCTAATGACTTTTCAGTAACAAGCCTTACGTGCCCTGCACTGTGTATCAGTGAGTGGTTCTGTGTACCGTGATGTTTGAGTCCTGTCTGTGACTCGTTATGTGCCCAACCACAGCTGAGATAAGTGATTGCACTGTCTTGCTCCTTTCTTATGTGGTTGTTCTGAGTTTATTCTTTTACACAAATTAAAAATGTAGTAAAAAACTAAACAAAACAAAACTGCTTGCATGACTTGTTTTTCCTAAAGAAAAAATAAGAAGGCTGCAAGCATACCCATCCAGCTGTTTAAAAGGCAGCCTTTGTCTTTTGGAGTGGGATCATTTTTAGAATGCACTTTCAGAGGACAACAGTGGTTCTGATCCTCAGTGGGGTAGACCAGGGACTTCCAGCTCCAAGTATCCTCTTGGCACATCCTCCATGCATACTCCTGGCCATCTGCTTTGTAGAGCCTTGGTTATTCATTTATGGACTCAACTCAGAATTGCCTGTGCTTTGTAGAGTTGATTACTATTTGGCACTTGAGAGACTGAGGCTGTGTAAATCTGCCCTGGTGTTCTTGGTGTTAGCTGGGGTGCTTGTAGCTTACATGAGCCAGGCATTGTTCCTCGTCTATCTGTGGCCCCTGCCCACTACATTGGGGCACTAGCTCTTCTTTCTTTGTAGCTGTGACTGGCACGGGTAAAATATAGGCCACTTGTTGCATTCCCATACCTGATCTCGAGTCATTTGTCAGCTCTGCAGAGGTGTCAGGACCTCCTCACCAAGGGAGACAAGCAGAAGCAAGCACTTTAAACCTGAAATGCTTCAGAAATTGAGGGAATAACAAGAATGAGGCTTAAAAAACAGAAGAAAAACAGTTGCTAGTTCTAGGCTAAAATGTAGGTAAATAAAAATCTAAGTATTTAGAAACTTTTTACTTTTGATTTAAAAATTTGAATCTACAAAGCTCCATAGCACTTCAATGTGTTCTCAACTAAGCTGACTAGAGAACTGGAGTCTGTCATACTATGTATACTGTACTTAAACATCCGGCTGGGAACCAGGTTTGCATCATTATACTTAAAATTCTACTAATAGTAAAAGGAAAAATATTACTCTTGTTCAGTCTCTAGTGTAATAGCCTCAACCAGGAAGTGAAATTTGAACTTAGTAATGGGTAGGGTCACTGCTGGGCACCAGCTTTCCAGGGAGGGAACAAAAGAAGGAGCTTTTTTTGGGCTCCAAACTTGTTTGTCTTTTTCTTTTGACCCCTGGTTCTAAGGGTTGACTCCAGAGCCTTGGGCTTGCTAAGCATGCACACTATTGTATACCTAGCTCCCAGACTCTAGGTTTTTAAAAAGAATGTAATTATCAAGCTATCTAGGGAGTAGTTAGCAACTTTGAATATAGCATTTTAGGTGCTTTTATAGAATCAACAGTAAAACTCTCAGGTGTGAAAACATAGTAGTAGAAACATTTCTCACCTCATCTGACTCTCAGATTGAAAAGCCTGTGCATATTATTCATCGCCAGTTTAGTTTTTATTTGACGTACAGAATCATGTTTGCTAAAGCTGCATTGCTTCATAGAAGCATAATGAGTCATATGAATTGCTTTACATTTTCTAGAAATAACACCTTAAGAACTAAAAAGAAAGAGGTATGCCTGATTTTAACGAAGATTTTATTTAACTTAAATATTAAAAATTGTCATTTCAAGTATAATCTTTATTAACAATTACTAATGACATTTTTGCCTTTTTTAAGTACTATGTCTTCAAGATCTTGTTGATATTTTAATCTGTATTGCTAAGTAAGTTGGGATAGCTGTAACTCTGAGGACAAATTTTCAGTAGAAATATTTGAGCCCTGTTTAGATTTTATATCATTTCATGTGAGCAGTAGCTATGTATTTGAGTCACTCCAGATCTATGTAGAAGTTACATAATCACTGAGTCAAGCTTTGGGATTGATTAAATTATTCATTCTCTCCATGCTAGCCATCTTTCAGGTGTTCAGTAGCTATGTATGTGACTAGTAGCTGTCTTTCATATTAGATGGCACAATCTGTCCTACATTTGGGCCATTTTAACTCATTGTGTCTGTTCGAGAGACCAGGGAAGGAAGGCTTCACAGGAGCTGGAGGAGACTGGGTAGTGAAAACCAGTGGGTCAAAGGTGGGGAGCCCACTTGAGGGAGATGCTGTGTGTAGCTGCTAGGTAGTAGAGCCATTGGTCTTGTTTCTTTCCACTGGAATGTGTTGAAAACAGCCAGCTCTTACTTGTTTTGTAGTGTCCCAATAAGCAACTGCTTCATGTTGGGGCCTGGGGGTGAGGGCCATGCCTGTAGGAAGTTATCCCTTGTGTGCAAAAGACTTCACACAGGACTCATGGGAAGCCCAGAGATCAGAGGCCACCCAGTCTCATCAGCAACCAATTCCTGATGGATGGGTGGATCGTGTTAGTTTAATAGTCTCAAAAAAAAGAGATCTGGTGGTACAAACATTGCAAGTAAGTGTAGTTGATTTTAATATTTTTTAAATGTGCTTTATTGGTATGTGTTGAGTCATTGCATTGGGTATTTTAATGAGTAGTATAGAGCTTTGTACCATTCCAGATATTTAAACTTTAAAAAGGAGGAAGACAATGTACTAATCAAACTTGAGTGCGAGAATCTCTGCTCTGGAGAGTCCCAGTTGTACCAAGTATAGGCATTGGTCTCTTATAACTGCCCTGTAAATGGTCTGTAGCTGAGGCTTTGCTAAGGTATAAAAGTTCATTTTATTGAGAAGCACTCTTTTGCTGTCTAGAGCCTGTGTGGTGCCCATACCTCCTTGTTCCAAGGGCCTCCCTCGCCTTGAAAGCCTTCTTACTACACCAGCCCTGGAATGGGCGATATTCTTTGGATATTTCTCGCATGTAAGTTATTTCATTTTTGTTTTCTGTGCATGATTTACTTGGATTGCAGGACACCCATGAAAATTAGCGGTGGCTTACAGTCCAGAGCTTAGAAGGAATGAAACCTTAACACCAGTCCAGGCCAAGGCAGAGACACTATGGGGATTCCTCCTCTGCCCGCCTCCACCGCCGTGGGGCCTTTGCAGAAGAGTGGGTCAGTAAGGAGGGGAGCTGCAGGTGCATGGGATGCTCGCTCTCAGGACTGGGTGACCAGCACATGGGAGCATCAGGGTGGAGGGAAACGATGAATGCGAAGAGGACCAGGAGATGCTGCAGGTTTGGGGCCAGGCCTAATTCTGTACAGCAGGATCAGAAGTGCGTTTATAAATCAGTGTCTACCTCACTGCAAAAAAAGTCATCATAGAAAAAAATTATCAATTATTTACTATAATTTACTGAACTTACAGTATATGGACATCACAGGTTGGTGTGGGATGAGGGTTTTGTTGTTGTTTTTAAGGCATTATCTGTCTGTTGTCTAAGAACTATTTAATTAGAGAAACAAATGGCCACATTCTATAGGGCAGAGGGAAATAATCACTTTAGCCATTGTTCATTGTAGGTTTTTTATTAAAAGGAATCTAAACCTGATAGTTCTTAGAATCAGCTAACCAATTTCCTACTCTTTTGAATACATGAGGTTTCTTCATTCATTTCTTTATTTCTATTCAGTAAGACAAAGAAAGACAAGCCACAAAAATGGTCAGTGAGTCCCAGGTACATTGCTACTACTTTGACCTGTAGCCAAGCTTTTAGCCAGAGGTTATAAAAAGTTTATTTCTATATTAATACAATGGTTTTTTTCAGTAAAGAAATACATAGTAGTAAATTCAGAGACAGTGAATGATTCAAACTTTTTTCTGTACAGTGACTATCCAGAAAATGAAGAAATAAAGACTCTCCTTCAAGAACAGTTGAACGCATTGTCTAAGTAAGCACTCTGTATTCCATAGAAGATAAGAACACAGGAAAGTGACACATATTAATTTGATTTTAAAAACCAAAACAATTGTTTTCCTAAGTGTTAATGGTCCACAGAGAGACAATTTGTTGACATAGGTTTGTTCCTCTTGTAGTTTTGTTTACCAGAGGGACTAAGTTACTGATTACAGGGACAGAGTAGCCATCTCCACCCAGTTCCCAACTCTCCAACTGCTGTGTTCTATCAGGACCAGGAGTTCTGTGTCATGAGGCTCCATCATCAGGGCCTCATGGAGCTGTGTTAGTGCACAGGTGACTCTGAGACAGCCCGTGGCAGGTACTGTGAACGCACAGTTCTGGCTAAGAAACTGATGTTTCTTAGAGCCATGATCACTTAAAAATAAATACTGAGAATTATTTTGCAAAGGGGGGAGAAAAATAGGGGTCCACCTGAAGGTCTTGGTAAAATAGAGCATGTTTCTGCAATCTAGAATCTACCCTATATAATAATCTTTAACAAGTTATAATACTTGGTAAATGGCAATTTCAAAATAATTACTTGTCATCAGTTTCCTAAGATTAACATTTGTGTTTAATTGGGAAACTGTAGAGTTTAAGAATCCTGTCAGCAGTGACATCCTTGTCCTTGCAGTCAAGTAAACTATTGCAAGACTGCAAAGCAGAGTCCTGGTCCCAGTGTTCAGGGTGGTTGACAGTATTCTTCCACTTGCGTAAGTTGGGAGCCAAGACAAAGTAACTGCTCTTAGAAATCCCTATGTCTATTGATACATCTCTTTGCTTTTTGTTTGTTTGGAAATGTTTGTCTTACCTCTGTCTGGGTTCCTGTCTACAGCGACATAAAGAAACTCCTGCTTGATCCTGAATTCACTCTCTTGCAGAGGTGCCTGCTTGTTTCCAGGTAATGTTCTCTGATATGTTGTGTAAGAGATAATTCAAGGTAACTTACTTCTTTTATTAAGGCTTTGTAAAAGTTACACCAAGCTGTGACATGTTTTAAAAATCTAAGCTCCTCCTTTAGATTTGACTTACAATTAAGAGTGCTGATACAAACTGGAAATCCTTTTACATCTTAAATGAGATCTGGGCTTACTGTACTGCAAGGACTTTTGCTTATTGTCAGCTTTTAAAATGTCAGCTACAAACTATGCATTTAAATGTATTTATAAACACACTGATGAATTACCTTTAAAAGCAATTATCAGTCCTTTCCTAGTGTTTAGCAGAGTCACTTACAATGAAGACATTTCCCTCTCTGTTCCTGATACTTTATGCAGAAGCTCTTACTGGGAAACTGATGTGCAAACATAGAGATACGGGGAGACCAGGCCTGTGGAGCTGTTGGATGTGAAGGGCTCTGTGTGGTCAGGCCATGTGCTATTGGGAACCCACTGCTCTATGCTTTTCTTGGTGGACTCTGAAGTGAACACTGTTCCTGGTACTGGAGGCTACTCAAGGCAGCCTGATCAGGCCTGGAGTGTGGACTCATGGAGGCCTGGCTTTCCCCTCCCCAGGCTCTATGGTGATGAGTCAGAGCTGCACTTCTGGACAGTGGCGGCCCACTACCTGCACAGCGTGTCCCAAGCCAAGTCTGGGGACACAGCAGTAGCCCAGGAAGGTGCTCCACAGGACAAGCTGAACAACCCACTGGATATCTGCTACGACGTGCTCTGTGAGAACGACTACTTCCAGGTGCTGCTGCTTTCTAGAGCAAAGCCCTATTCATACATCTCATCTTCACTATTGGAGTTTCCCTGAGCATCTTAAACTTGGGAAAACTTAGAGCCAAATTAAAGTCCACAGCCTAGAAATAAGTGTGGCATGTTGTATGAAAAGCCTGATTCTCAGAAAGCTTATAAACACTAGGTTTTTAATGCACACAAAAAGTCTTGGTTTTTGTATTAAATTTTTTACCTTAGAAGGCTCATTTTAATTTGTTCACTTCAATTTTCCATAAATCTCAGTATTTTTACTTGATTTAAAAAATTTACTTGACTTACGGACTTTGGGCTCCCATCCAACAATGAGAGATGCACTCTCACCCTGGACTCTTGGGGGAGGGTCTAGGCCCTGCCCTGAATGAAATGACAGACTATGGACACCCCCATGGAGGGCCTCACCCTCCCTGGGGAAATGGGGGGATATTGGGGAGGGTGGTGGGAAGGCACGGGAGGAGGGGAGGGAAAGGGAGTGGGACCTGGAATTGACATGTGAAGCAACCTTGTTTCTAATTTAAATTTAAATTAAAAAAAATAAAATATAAAAAAAGTTTGACTAAATTTTCTATTCCTTCCTTCCTCTTCCCCTCCTCTCTCTCCCTCCCTCCCTCTCTCTTCTTTCTCCTCCTCCTATCTTACTTCTCCTCCTTCTTCTTTCCTACTTTAGAAATTTCAACTAGAAAGAGTTAATCTACAGGAAGTAAAAAGGTCAACTTACGATCATACAAGGAAATGCACAGACCAGCTACTACTCTTGGGTCAGGTATGTCAGTTTGGATGCTCCGTGGAGTTGCTAGTTGATGGATATTTCAAGCATCGTTGTGCACACATACTCTCACTTATGTGTGCATATGTATATAGCCACATGAACGCATGTCCTTCTCTGTACACACTTAGGCTTTCTTTAGCAATGTCACCACCAAACGCTGTGAGCATCACGGCCATGAGGTTAGCCTACTCTCGCTTTAGCTTCTGTAACAGACAACAGCTGTTGGTTTTGTTTTCCTGCACTTAGTGGTGCACAGCTGAAGTGTCATTCCTCCTAGCAGCTCTCCCCCCGGGCTGGGTTTTATGCTTGCCTTAGAGCTAAAGTGTGGGACTTTCACTAGTTTGTATATGTTGATATAATATCATACGTTTGAAAGTGAACGTTGCCTTTAGGCTGCAAACTTTGATGTTCCCCTTATGAATCTTAAAAGGCTCTGTTGGAAGAGAATGTTCCCATAACTGCAGGAGGTGTTTCTCTTCCTAGACAGACAGAGCCGTGCAGCTCCTGTTGGAAACGAGTGCGGATAACCAGCACTATTACTGTGACTCGCTGAAAGCTTGTTTGGTCACCACTGTCACCTCCTCAGGCCCTTCTCAGAGCACCATTAAGCTGGTGGCAACCAATATGATTGCCAATGGCAAGTTGGCAGGTAAGGCACACTGTTACTGCATCTGTCAGTGCTGGGTTGGGCTGTTGAAGACATGTCTCTTTGTATATGCTACAGAAAACTAGTGCTGATTATAGGGTGACCACAGTCACATAAGTGAGCTTTTTTTAAGTGAAAAAACGAGGTGTATGAATGCTTGCGGTGACGATCCTGGGCCAGGTGCTCCACCCCAGTTCATGCTCTAGGTTGTATTCATGCTCACTGCCCCGGTTGCCTGAGAGGTGACATTGTGTAGAGCTCTGTCCTAATAGTTTAAAATTCAGTTCAACAGCTTCCCATTAGGTCCAGGTTTTGAATACCCCTTAACTGAAATGATTAAGTGTGCTCACCCTATATAAAATGTACAAGACTAAAGTTAAATGTGGTTTTACTTTTTATTGATTTGTTAAAAAGAGTGCTGCAGGGTCAGATGAGGGGACTGTTCTTCTGTCTTCCAGAGGGTGTTCAGTTACTTTGCCTGATCGACAAGGCTGCGGACGCCTGCCGCTACCTGCAGACGTATGGCGAGTGGAATCGGGCAGCATGGCTGGCAAAGGTAGGCATTTCCGGTAGGCGTCCTGGCAGTTAGACAGACAGCTCAGTCTTGAGCCTCTCTCTTCCCTGGGAAGCTGGTCTACGTGTGGTTACTTGCTGTTCCACCTCTCATTATTAACTGCCACTTTCACTGAAAACAGCTTGCATTGGGAGCAGTCGGGTGAAAACAGCTGACTCCTGCCTGCCGGGGTCTGATGCAGCCAGGCCCCAGCAGCAATCACTGCAGTTTGTGTGTGATAAATGGCAGTGGAACAGTTTAGCTGTTTGTTTCAGAGAAGCACACTTCATTTCTCTGTAGCGTGTACGATGTTCTGTTCTATCTGCCTTTTTTTCAGGTTCGGTTAAATTCCGAAGAATGTGCAGATGTTCTGAAGCGGTGGGTCGATCATCTTTGTTCTCCACAAGTCAATCAGAAGTCCAAGGCCCTCCTGGTCCTCCTCTCTCTGGGTTGCTTTGTCAGTGTGGCAGAGACACTTCACAGGTATGGCATGTAAGCCCTGGCCGCTAGGCGGTGCTGGGTGAGCCCTTCCCGGTGTTCTCGGTGTTCCCGGGTTCTTTGTAATGGAGGTAGATGTGTGACGTGAAGGGAGAATAGTACAGTTACGGTTGTGAAGAACCGAAGGGGGAAGGGGGGCATCTCTCTCTGTTCTTAGTTATTGGTTCCAGCACTATGTGTGCCAAACCCAAAGGACACACTGTAAGAATATAGAAATCAAGCCGGGTGTTGGTGGCGCACGCCTTTAATCCCAGCACTCGGGAGGCAGAGGCAGGCGGATCTCTGTGAGTTCGAGGCCAGCCTGGTCTACAGAGCGAGTTCCAGGACAGCCTCCAAAGCCACAGAGAAACCCTGTCTCGAAAAAACAAAAAACAAACAAAAAAGAAAGAATACAGAAATCTTTAGACAGTTGGGGAGGATTCAGACTTGAGAGTAGCTGAGAAGAAGCCCCAAGAGCCGTGAGAGGTGGTAGAGTATGGCAAGCTGGAAAGTCCCCATGAACGTCTCTGTCTGATAGGAGATTGACCTATAGACAACTAGAGGCAGTAAATTGAGACAGATTTGACAGACTGCTTACTAAATCTGGGCAGTGGGTACATAATTTAGAAAAGCTTGTAGTCCTGGATTACAGTGGTTTAAACTACTTAGCACAGTGTTCTCGGTGTCTACTGTGAAGCTTGTATTTAGAGAAGTGTGCTCCCTCCTTTATAAACCAGGCCTTAGAAAGGCGTTGGCCTGACTTATAGAATACTCTATTTCCATGGGAAATGTGTACAAAGCTTCAGACAGAAATGCTGCTTGGGTGGCTCTGCCCACCTATGTCAGATCTTGAAAACTAACTTATTTTTGTTCCGTTGACCAGCATGAGGTACTTCGATAGAGCTGCCCTGTTTGTGGAAGCCTGTCTCAAGTATGGTGCATTTGAAGTCAGTGAGGACACAGATATCCTTTGCAAGGACATTTATGCTGAGAGGGTAACATGAGTGAGATTTAGAACTTATATTACATTGAGAAAGATCCATGCTGTGAGTCACCAAACCCGGAAGAGAAGGAGAAAGGAAAACTAGAGGAGGAGGGAAAGAACCAGAACAGCTTGCTGCACTGCAAGCTGGGTAGAGGGAGTGGCAAGGAGGACTGTACAGTGAAGGCCTGTGTTCTCTGATGTGTGTTTGGCCTTAAAAGAAGGGAAAGTACAATTTAGAAAAGCATGTGGTCCTTGTACTTTAAATACTGTTTGAAATATATTTTATATGTTTACCTAGAAAATATAGATTAAAAAGTTGAAAAACTCCCACTGTACCCAAGTGAACCTCTGGTATGGCATAGAACAGAACTCTTGAGATGTGCCATAGAGGCGGGCTGCTGTGAGCTAGGACACTGTATTCTACTAAGCATCACTTGGGTACCTTCTTCTTTTGGAAAGAATGGGCTTGTGGATATAGCTCCCAGGTCCTCAGGTTTAAAGAACTCTCCCATTTCTCATTGTATTTTTTCTTGAGTTTCTATATTTGGCCTCATTTCTTTATGTTGGTCATTTGGCTTTGTAAATACTCATTTTTTTAAAGCTAACATAAATCAAAATATTTGAAAAAGTAACTAAAGCCTAAGGTTTGGCAAAGCCATGGACTAGTCACTGGTGAACTTGGTCTGGTATCAAATTTTTCAGGACACCACAGAACAGGGCTATCTCAAAACCTGATGCCCAGCCGTCTAGAGCCTCTCCCCTAACAAACGGTTCTGCTCTGACTGCCAGTCTCTGAGAAACTTCCTCCTGGAATGAGGGTGTGTGCAGGTTCTCTCCTGTCCTCTGCCTTTCTCCAGGCTTCATTGGAGTACAGCAGTGGCAGCATCAGAGGACACTGGCTGGAGTCTTCTAGAAGAAACATTGGATTTAGCTGGTGCAAAGTGCAGCATGGTTCCATTGAGGCGCTTCCCCCCTCGTAACGAGGTGCCTATCTATACTCCTGACACGCTGCTCGCCGGAGCCACCAGGTCTCCCTGGAGCACCTGGGCAGAGCTGCCCTTCTGCTTTGGAGTCTGAGGAGCCCACCCTTCATTCTTGGCTTCCTTAACTGAGGTTTACAGAAACTCATCACTGCCATCTATGCAGACTATGCCCGAAGCCTGAAGAGCCTCGGTTTCAAACAGGGAGCAGTGCATTTTGCTTCAAAAGCTGGAGCAGCTGGCAGAGATTTATTGAATGAGCTTGGATCCCCCAAGGAAGAACTAACAGAAGGGTGACATGCTCTGTGCAGGAAATCCCATGTTGGAAGTGAGGTGTGAGGAGGACTGACCTGACCATGCTCACAGTCACCGTCATGGTCAGTTCAGACTGATGTGAAGACCTGGCCCTTGTTAGTTGTGTCACCACCTTCTTAAGGCCGCAGGTCTCAGCGGCATGGGCACATTTACACTAGGAGCCAGTTCTGTGTCCCATGTGAGCTCAGATCAGCGGGGACACATGGTGGGAAAGTATGTAGTGTTTATACATTTGGAAAGTGCTTCTAGGATCCTTGTGACTACTTTACAATAATTGTAACCTAAAACTCATGAGACTGGATTGCTTTCCTCTCTCATTTGTTAATTTAGAGATGTTTAAGAAATCGGTAGAAGAAAGTGTACATCTGACGGCTTCTCAGATACATGCCATGTGTGCCTGTGTTGATAGGCAGTTGTTTAGGACACAGCAGGGAGTGGATTCCCTGCTTTAGGCATTGCTCAATTTTGTATTTGGGCCTCATAGTCTTCATGGGACATGTCAAACTTTATGTTTAGTGTTAGTGGTCTTGGATGGTCTGAATTTTAACTCCTAGGATACATTCCAGTAACCTCATTTCTGAAGCCTCTTTTGTACATTTTATGCCTTTGTTTTCTTCCACTAGATGTAATTATTATAAATTATTGCTCAGAATTTCAACAACTGTGACTATACAAATGATAAATAAAGGAAAATCTCAGCCAAGACTTTGTTGTTTTGATTTTTTTCTTTTTGAGATGTGGTCTTTTGGCCAAATGAATAACACCTTCACCCCTACTTTATTTTTTCAGGAACATTGAGAAACACAACTCAGGTCAAAGTTACAGTCACTGGTTCCCAGCAACTTGGGGTCATTTCCAGTCAGTCCCCTGTCTCCCATTTTTGAACTTAGAGACATCAGGGGCACTTGAGAAAGATGGCTTATTCCAGACTCCATGTGGCACTTTGGCGAAAAGACTGGGTTTGAACAGTAGCTGTAAATCTGGGCTGAAGTAAAAACGACACACCTTAGTTATCGCTCTACACGTGTAGCTAGAGGTACCAGCTTTCTTCCTGCTGCTACAATATTGGAAGAAACGGATCTCTGCCTGGTGGGAGTGGAGGCTGGAGAGGGACTTTAGGAGGAAGGAGTGCTGCTGGGGCAGTGTCTGTAGTAGGTAAAATGCTGTCGCAGTTACACTCCGCATCTGCTGGCCGCTTCCGGTTTGCTGGAGGATAGTCAGACCCTGTATTATCTGCCTTTGGTTGTTCTGTTTGGAAGACTGAGGGGGGTACTTGTGGCTGAGGGCAGGTGACTTGAAAGGCCTAAAGTGTTACTGCCCTACCCTTGACAGAACAGTTTTATGATTATCATTTAGGGGCCAAATTGCTGCCTTGTTAAGTCTCACTGGTGACAGATGGGCATGAGGTCCTCTGTTACCCTTGCGGTGAGTACCATAGACACTTCCCCTACTCCCTGTGCTCAGAACAATGTCAAAGTTCGTCCCGTCTGTCCCTTTACAGCCTTGGGTTCTCATGAGAGAGGCTCCAGGAGATGTCTATGCACGGCCCAGGCTGACTTTTATGTCATCTGTGACAATTCTGAGGTAAAAGAAATGTGACAGTTCTGATGAGGAATACAAAAGGCTCAATTTCAAGAGCTGTGTTAAAAGCATTTGAAGTGGATCTGTTTTACTCCAGACACATTCTGCTTCAAGACCCTGACTTTATTCTAGTCTTTTGTCATTGTCCCATCACTTGTGAGCCAAAATGGGTAAGGCCAGAAGACAAAAATTAGTTGTGTTTGAAACCAGTGGTGTGCATGCCTGTTGCAGAAAATAATTAATAGAAAGAAGCAGAAGCGTGTGTATCCCGATTGTGGAGAAGTCCTTGACTGAGGAACCCTCAGGCACTTGATGACTGGAGTCCCACACAGTCCCACTGAGCTGAACCAGCAAGCAGAACAAAGAACTAACAAGTCTGCAGTGAAGTCGATGGGACAGGGTCAAGGGGAAACTGGCCCTGAGCTGCACAGGCACTGTGGAGAGAAGAGGCAGACTTCTGAAGGCTGATGGGGAAGGCACTCACACAGTTTTCTCAAGAAGTGTTGGGTTAATGTTTAAGTGCTATTCATTAACCTTGGTGTACGATTACCGCCCTTTCCATCTATCTCTAACTTACCCAAGGTTGGAAAGCAGACGGCATCTGGCCTTCAGTATTTAGGAACTAACCATGATGATTCTTGATGTCCAACCTGTTGTAATTTAAGAAAAGCGGTTCGTGAGAGAAAGATACCATGGTACAGGGTTCAAGCAGAGGGTTTTTTTTTTTTAATTAGGGAAAGGGATCATAAAAAGGGAAAAGGAAAGGAGGGAGACCAGCCTTCAGAGACAGGAGCAGCAGGAGAGAGGAAAGAGGGGAGGGAGGAGAGATGGGAGGTGGGCAGGGAACATAGTGAATATGCACAGGTGGTGCTCTTAGTGGCTGAGGCTGAGGACATATCCTGTCAGAACCCCAAGGACAGGTGAGTACAGATGCCTGAATGCTAACACAATCCACCAGGGTCCTTTCTCACAGCTCCGATGGCCTCTGTGCTCCACCAAACACTAAGGCAAAGTTTTCTTGCTTCTTTCTGAAAATGACTGGTAACTTGTGAGCTAGGCTGTGACTTTATAAGCAGTGTGCCCTGCCTGTCATCTGCCAGCAGCAAGGAACTTTGGTGAGCCACCACCTCAGAACTTGAGTCTTAACACTTTGGTTGGCATAGCTCTGGAGTGGGTATCTAATTTTTCAAAACCTTGCCGTGCCCAGGAAATCCAAGTCCACACAGCTGTGGCAAAGGTATCATCCTGTGATTTCATTTTAGTCATTTTACTGTGTTATTAGTGCTATATCTTAGTTAGGGTTTCTGTTTCTGCTGAAACATGGCCAAAAAGCAAGTTGAGGAGAGGAGGGTCTATTTGACTTACACTACCACATTAGTGTTCATCACTGAAGTTAAGTCAAGACAGGAACTCAAAATAGGGCAGGAACCAGGAGGCAGGAGCTGATGCAGAGGCCATGGAGGGGAGCTGCTTACTGGCCTGTGGCATGCTCAGCATGCTTTCTTATAGAACCCAGGACCACCAGCCCAGGGATAGCCCCACCCACAATGTGCTGGGCCCTCCCACATCAATCACTAATTAAGAAAATGTCTTACAGCCAGATCTTATTGAGGCATTTTCTCAATTAAGTTTCCCTCCTTCCAGATAACTCTAGTTTGTGTGTCAAGTTGACATAAGATCAGCAGCACATGCTACTTAATGCATGTAACTAGAAAAAGTATATTTAACTATCCCTCAGCACACACAAAAAGGGAGCTTGACTGTTCAACAGAATTTGAGTCCTGTTGACTTCTCCTTCCTAGGGCCCTTTAGGAATGTTCCTCAACCCAGTGCAATTGAATGGCAGTCCTTGGCTTCTCTGAAGTTGCTGATCTTTGCTGGGGGTCTAGGGACCAGGTACCTTATCACATTGGGCAGCTTGGATAGCATCCTAGGAACATTCCCATCTAGGTTTGTTGAAATGATGGTGAGAAGCCCAGCCTGCCTGGCAAGTGCTTAGTGAAGGAGAGGCCAGTGCACATTGTAGAGTGCCTCTGTGTCTCACGGTCACTGGCAGACCTGCTCAGGAATGGTTCTAAATACCAGTGCCACAGAAGGGACAGTCGAAAACGGAGTAGAGCTTGAACCACCTGACCGGTTGTCTTTCGTTAGTGGTGATAATTCTCTCCCTGGGTGACTGAAAGAGCAGACAGCTGCGAATCATGGCTGCTCAATGTAGAGGATGCTCTAGTCACTACAGTTAGTTTTTAAGGATGCGTGCTGTCTGTAAGGTTGGCTGATGGGGAATACGGAAGAACTGCCCCCTTGTTGCAGAGCCTTCCTGGAGTGGCATGGACAAGCAGGAGTTCCTCAGGATTGGGTGTAACAGGGGGTGGAGGGGAGATGCAGCCACTGTGGTTGCAGAAAACTTGCTTCGGGCAGAACTTCATCTGGGGCCTGGTAGTAATCATCTCCCCAGAGGTAGGCTCCCCCATGCCCAGCAGGCTGTTTCTGCCTGACTTCAGACCCATCCCAAGGCTTTGGCTACCTCAGCCCTGATCACCCCCCACCTCTGTCCCCCACCAGTTCTTGGGAACTAGTAAGCTTCATGTGTTTACTGAGCCCAAAACTCTGTCCAGTACTCCACACCATAGAAGGTGCAAAGGCAGCAAATAAATTGCATGCGGAGGTGGAAGAGGGGAGTAGGGAGTGGTCTGGAGAGAGAAACCAGAGCCTTTCCAGCTCTGCTCCCCCTGCTCTGAGCCAGTGTGAACTCAGTGAGCCTTGTCCCAAGACTTGGGGCAACACTGATGAACAGGCTTAGGGAGGGACTTCCTCCGGAACATGGAAAGCATTCCTGAAGCCCATCCCAAGGCAGCACAGGTGCAGATGTCTGCTGGTGATGAGGATGCCCTTCCAGGCTTGCCCTCACTCCCTCCCTAGCAGCTACCTCCCACTGCACTTGAAATAACACCTAAAGCCGTTACCGGCATGGCCCATCTGCAGGAAGACTGCAGGATCTCTCCTGGTTCCCGGTCTCCATCTGTGTGGATAGTCTTCTCCTGTGTGACCTTGGACATATGTATCCTTGGCCTACCTCAGCCTTTGCATGTGTGCCCCTGCCCTCCCCCAGCCACTCATGTGGCTCTCCTCTCCCTTACTTCTCCAAAGTCACCTGTCTCTTACCTACGCCTCCATCCAGACCCTTCCTTTGCCTCTAGAGCCCCTGACCTCACTCAGTCCCTGTTCTTGTTGTCTGCTGACTAGATCACAAGTTCCACAGAGGTGAAGTTCTCTTGCCTTGTCCTTGCCTGGGGCCTCAGCTCCCAGAAGAAGGTCTATCCCAGGGAAGGCATTGGTCAGTGTATGAGGGGATCATTGCCATAAAGGAGGGCATAGCTTGAGAATGGGACAGGAAGGAGTGCCAGCTGGGGTTGCTCCCACCCCTGCCCAGAGGTGCAGATGTGTCCCCTCACTTCACGTCTGGAGCTGATGTCCTATCCTGTGTGCTCTCCCTTTTGAGGACTCTCAGATCCCCCATAAAAGGATGGACTCATCACATACTTGGTGTAATCGGGCTTGGGGGGAGCAGAGTAGAAGAGGGCCGGACTTTGAATCAGGTTTGGGACACCCTCAGCTGACAGGTGATAGGACTGTGAACTTTTTTCAGCTGTGTGTACTGCTGAAAGTGGGGCATCAGGAGATTTGGGGGCACATCTGAGGCCAGCCAGCATCATTACAAGTTTTTACACAAGGCAGTAGAGCTTTCCTATTTTACTGGGCTTTGGTAGGTGTTCTTTGCCTCTGCAGAATGTTCTAGAAAGTTTACTTACAAATGTATCATCTTATTTCAGAAGCTCCCATTTTCTCCTGGTTGGTAATGATCCCTTTCTCATATTTCACTTCTTTTAGCAGATGTGCATAGTATTTTATGCACGTCTAAGAATTTTTCAGTGCAATTCTCAGAAAATGTAATGCCTGGTCGGTTAAGTTTCAACAGCATTCCATAGATGAATGCAGAAATAGGTGCACCCTTTCAATACATGGAAGTGATCTGCCATTTGTTTCATGCCTGCTGTTGTGGAATACTAAGATGTATTACATTTGTGAATTTTTGTTTAATGATGTGAAGATGTGTTGTAT